AAGAACAGAGCTAGAGAGTTAATTTGTCCATCATTACTTGAGGGAGGGAGGGAGAACAAAGACGGAAGTACAGATGACTTTTAGAATCCTGTGGGACTATTGCACGTGAGATTCATCCTATAGGGAAAATAAGACCATGGTCTTTGAATGATATCCCAGTCATCAGATTATCCTTAAAAAGGAAATGCATCAAATGGCAAAATTTGTATCATTCTCCTTAACGGATTCATTGAAGAATCAGCACAACCTGACTCCCTGTTGATCAAAATCCCCAAATGATCTTTCTTTTGAATTCCCTACTTACCTTTACTCCTTGCTTTCAGTTTTCCCCCATGGTTTCTTATATTTTGGTGTCTTGGAAAGAAGGTGTTGGGCAAATTCTCATTTCACTGAAATATTTACATCATTCGTATTGTTCATTACACTGCCTACCATTGACTAAGGTTTGTTACATGCTAGGCACTCTACTAATACCAGGTCTCAAATTTTCTTATTCATGGCGCTCTTCATATCTGTACTCTTTTCCTGGTGCCTCAAGACCGAAAGAAACACCTAGTAGTTCCATTACTAGGTAGTTGGATCCAAACAGATTAGTGTTTAGGTCCTAACAACTTAGCAATCATTTGAAAAATTAATACACTAAAATTAAAAGAAAAAATATTTTTGTCTAATTCTTAAGTAACCACAATTATTTACTGAAAGAATGTGTAGCTATAATAAAAGAGGAAATCATAATTTTACAAAGTGGTTGCCACTGAAATATTGAAGAAATTCAAAGAAGGTTGTATGAAATCAAGTGTTTTGCCTAATCATAGACTAGAATTTCAACAGGTAATTGTCTATTCCACATCCATTGTAGACCTGGAAGTCACAAAAAAAAAAAAAAAAAAAAAAAAACAGATTTTTCTGTTGTCCTGTAAACCAAAATGCTTACTTACTGCCCTCATATTTACTCCTATCTAGTTGTGTGAGCATTTTCCCCCCTTTTCTTGCCACTTATTTAGATTCTTCCTTAGGGTTGTGTCCTTAGAATTTTTATTAATGTTATTGTACCACATTTCTGTCATTAAAGCTTCCTTGAGTCATTATTTCCAAGATAGTTTCATATGCTTATTAATTATCTAGTTTATATTCTTTGATTTAATTTAAATAATAAACTAATCCAATGGGGAGTCATTTGCTCATAAAATGAGCAGAGCAAATGTGTCTTCTGGACAATCTTCATTAACCACAAGCCTCCCTGGAGTAGTCAGTAGTTTATTAGCCATTGTTAGGATAGCTTAGAACTGATAATGTAATCATTTTCCCCTAGAACCTGAATATTTGATCAGTTATTTTCTTCTTGGGATCCAAAGTCACGACACTAATTCCATCTTCTTCCTGCATTGTGACTTGGATGTTATGGTATTTAGCATAAGTGAGCCATTGTGTTTTTGGTAAATGTAACTTTCATGCTTTGCTATTCCTACATGGCTCTCATTGGTCATAGCAAATTCTTCCATGCAGTACCAGCAGCAAAGATAAATTCATAGAGAACCTGAGGGAGCTGAAGCTTCTGTTACTTTCATGCGCCTTGTGAGTGCTGGGGGTAGAACGTTCTAAGTGGAGAGGGGAAATTAGGCCACCACCAGAAAGTATCTCTAGGTGAGCACTTCTGGGAAGCTGCCTAAAGACATATCTATCAGCAGAAAGACCTGAATCTCCAAGACTCCAGTTACATATTGTGAATTTCTTTAAATTACAAAGAAGTATTCCTTTGTGCAATTTGAATTTGTGATTTTGTATTCTTTTCCTTAAAAGGGAACTCCAAACAACCTAAACCTCCAGACCCAGAAAGCTTAGAGCTGCCCCTGACTAGCATTTCTTTATCAGGATGACTCGATTTCTGAATGTAATCTTCTTTATTTTTTCAGATAATTTTTGAAGCCATTAGGGGAGTATCAATAAGAAGTGATATTGCCATTGATGATATTAAATTTCAAGCAGGACCCTGTACAGGTAACAATATCTTCCACTTATATAAACTTGATGACAAGGGATTTTGTGATAATCTCAAATCATAAGAATGCAAACGATAGGTTTTTCTATAATAAACAGAGAGAGAACTATTATTATCTGTTTTTCCTGACAGAAATAGAAGATACAACTCAACAATCATCAGGATATTCTGAGGACTTGAATGAAATTGAATATTAAGCAATAATCTGAATTGGATTGATTAACTGAACAAAAGCCATACCTCTCTTCAATCAAAATGAAAACAAAAAAAGTTGTTACTGGACAGTCTTAACCATTTCATAGGTTATAACATGACTTTAGAGCACTCTTCTTCATAACTTTTGCAAAAAATACTGACTCAGGGCTTTTTTGTTTCTTTTTGCATATGACAACTGTTACTGGAAGTACAGGCTACTGGTTTTGCATAGATCATTCATTTTAATTTTAGTAACAGTAAAAACTACAAATGTACAATATTGTAGTGATTTTAAAATATGCAAATTAAGGGCACAATCAAAATGAGATGTGCTCACTTAAATCTGCATTCAGTGAATGTATTGAGAAAAGAATAGTTCTTGTGGGTTTCCTTTTGAATTTTAAATATCATAAATATTTTTAAAGTAATAATGTGAGGTGTCAGTAATATCTGCAGAATGAATGCAGTTTTTCATGTTAACAAGGTAGCCCAAGAAAATAAAGTTTTATTTTCTATGTTTTATTCACAGTAATAGAGCATTAATTTTTAAATAGTTTTACCATATGTGATAATAAGAATCTTTCATAAATATCCCAGGTAAGTCAGTATTAATTAATGCTGTATTACAAGGCAATGCTATCTTTTTTCCTTATGAACTACTTTTGACAGTCACTATGAACACATGAATAAAAATGACACTCCTTTTGTAAAGCAAGCTTGAAAATGTTTATGTATACACACTCTAAATTTTTAGAACGTATTAAACAATTTTGCTGATTTTTGTGATAAGTGTTTTGGTAAAGTTTTGAATAATACGAATTCAAACAAATATACTAAACTGCTGCTTTTTATTTACATTTTTTAAAAATTGCATATGCATATTTGTATACCCAAATAACTGTTATGAAATTATAAGATTACCTAATAAAATTTGGAAATCTTTTCACTGGCAGTTAATTTATTTCTACATTATTTTTCTTTATCAGAGTATCTTCACTATAAAACTGCATATTGATTCTATTTTGAATTTCTATTCTGCCAAATTAAATGCTTCTGAATCATTTTATTAATGATGGGGGTAGAACACTGCATACATTGCTGTAACAATATTTTTAAGTATTTTATTTCACATAATCAAGGTCAATTTTTCTCCAAATTTTAACTCATTAGAATGTAAACTCTATGAGGAGAAGGATTCTTGTCTTTGTTTAGTACTTTTGTCTGATATGTAATAGGTGCTCAACAAATACTTGTTGGATGAATTAATTTATTAATTAAACCCTGGAAACTGCCCTCAGAGAATGAAAAAATGACTTAAGATTCCATTGCTATTAAGTGAAGGAACTTTAGAATCACGTCTCTGTGATCCCAAAACCTAAATCATTTCTGTTCATGATGATTTACAGAGGGTTGAAACATTGGGGATGAAAGATTTCAAAATAATGACCAATTCAATAATAATATACTAGATTTCTTCAAAGCATTGTTCTTCTACATAACTTAGTTATTTTTGCTAAATAAAGAAACTAAGAGTGGGGCCTCCCTGGTGGTACAGCGGTTGAGCGCTGGGCTGCGAAGCTGCCCGCAGCCTCTGCAGCTCCGGTTCGATCCCCGGCCGGCGGTGAGGGTCCCACATGGTGTGCAGACCTCTCCTGCCATGCCGTCTGCTCCCCTCAGCAGTGTACTTCGTCAGTCTGTTTGTTCTGTTCCCCGCTCTGGCTCTGGTGAATTCTCTCACCCTCCCACACTTCTGACTGTACCCAATGCTTGTATAATTAAACAAATAAATCTTAAAAAAAAAAAAAGAAATAGCAATAATCACAGCTAAAATTAATTGAATAGTTAGTATTTTCAAACATTGTTCAAAAAGATTTAAAGAATTTGCTTATTTAATTATAAAACCCATGAGGTAGATATAGAGATACTTTAATTATTATTTTTTTTGGTTTTTAAGAAATTATTATTTTATTATTTTATTATTTTTAATTTTTCTATTATTTTATTTTTTAAATTTTTTACATCATTGTTCATTTTTAAATAATATTTGCTTCCCTCCATCCCCTCAGGTGTAGTCCCCATAAAATTTCCTTCCCCAATGCACCCGTGCATCATCACCTCAGTCCCCTGTACTCCTCCCTCCCTCTCTCTGATCCCTCTCCCTCCTCCTCCCCTGCAGGATGTCTCTGGTTTATAATTGTCTGTTTTTGCTTTGTTGTACTGTTATTTTTTGTACTATTATTATTTTTGTACTATTTTTATTTTTACTATTATTATTTTTTACACTGATGTCTATTTGGTTCCCCTGTATTCCTGCTATAAGTGAAACCATCGATATTTTTCTTTTTCCCTCTGACTTATTTCAGTGAGCATAATTCCTTCTAGCTCCATCCATGTTGCTGTGAATGGCCTCAGTTTATTTTTTTTTTTGATTGCTGATCTGTCCAAGTTCAGGAGTTAGTGTAGGGCTTAGGTTTGAACCTGGGTCGGTTTCATTGCCAAAACCATGCTCTCATCCTTGCAAGACTACCTCTTGAAACTGCCAGCTCTTTACCAATGTCATCCCCAATACCAGCTTGAAATAGTTGAAGGTTCCAAGTTTCTCTGTCTCAAAAAGATCTGCTGACTACCAAAATTGCCTTAAATGTTGACAAACCAGAAATACAAATTGGGACACCAGCTTTGGAATTTGTGGGGGGAGGTGAAAGTTGGGGTACTTATTGATGACTTGGAGAAGGTAATTATTACCAATTGGTGCTGAGAAACAGTCTGATGTTCATAGAAAAGAAAAAAGGTGAGCGGATTAATTTGCTGTCTCTCATTTCTGCTTCTATAGGTTTCACTTTCTGAATGCTTCTCTTCCTTTTCCAGGTTGCCCTTGGCATTCAAACTACATTTTACCTGGATGAAAATATGGAAGGTAAGTGGAGTAGTTTTCTCATAAAAGCCCCAGGGGAAGTTATACTTTTTGATAGGTACTGCTGAACAATTTAAGCCCTGTGTTTGCTTTTATTCCAAGACTCATCTAAACACACATGTGCTTCAACTGGAAACTACTTTCAAACACAAATTGCCCCCTCTCCTATACTTTGCTGTCTGGAGTGGAGATTATTTGTGTACAGAAGGGAGTAAGGAGAGAATTGTAGTTCTGATGCAAGGTCTGTCTCAACTTAGAAGAAAAGTTTTGGTAAAGATTTCTTGAAACTCTATGTTGCTGAAATTATCCAAGCATGGAAGTTACAAAGGTTAGGAAAACAGAGAGGTCATAGCCCAGGGTACTATGGGGGACCTAGAAAGGGCGTCTGACCCGGGAGGACAGCCTCCCAGCTCTCCTCTGAGCAGAACAGTGAGAACCAGCAGAGACCCCACTATATTTCCAGTGTCTAATGCTTTAGAGAGTTCTAAAGGCTAAGACCTGGACCCTTGACTTTTCATTCCCATGCACTCAATATGGCTTTCCATGTGATTTTAATCAGAACTGGGGAGGTGGGAAATGAGTTTCCCATGTGATCATACTAATGTTGCATTTTCAATATATGAGTTATGGTAAAGAGGAGAGCCAGCATTCAAGCTGTCTCATTTTAAATCCTGACTTTTCCACTTACAAGCTTTGTGACTGAGGGCAAGTCACAAACAACCTTTCTGACTTTTATTACTAGTCTGCAATATGCGGCAAATACTTGCTCCTAATTTGTAAGGTTGCTATAGAGATTAAATGAAAATAATACATACAAGTATTTAAAGCAGTATCTGACTCACAAGGGCATTTTAGTTTCTAGTCTGAGTTTTGAGTGAAATTTTGGGCTAAATTGCTATTACATGTAGTTTTTTTCTAAAGAGGAATTGTGAGTATAGAGTGCCATCTTAAGGATAAAACAACCATTTAATCTTGTCATTTTTATCATCTTTTTTTCTTTATTATCAGCAGTACAAGACTCATTTTAACCCTCATTTGGGCAAGACTCCCCTTTTGCTCTTACTACTCCAGTTACAATTAATGCTTCTTCTGTGTTGTTTATCTTGTGCATAGAACCTTAGAAAAAAATTTATCATGTTGAAGCTAAATTGCTGGTTTTTTTATGTCCCTCTCCTCCAAAATTGTCACTTATTCAATGTTATACCCCTAGTGCCTAGCATACTCAATATTTCTATGTTAAACAAACAAATGCTCCATTTAGATTAGTACAGATATATGTGTATGCTCCAAAATTGTCAAGATTCTCTTTGGCCCATCAAAATTTCATCAGTTCTTCGTATATTCCTGTCAGGACTTTACTCTTGCCGGTAATCCTACCTGCTCACGTTTCATAAACCACCAGGCTACACATGTAAGTGAATACTGACATATACTGAAATATTTTTAACACTTTAGAGAGAAAATAATTGTATATATATTCATCTGTAATTTGTCTTTTTTTACTCAAAATTGTGTTTTTTAGATTTAGCCATGTTGAATTTCTAACTAGTAAATTCATTTTCAGTTTGGTAGGAATTCCATTAAATGATTATACTGCTATTTATTACTCTCTTCTTTCACTGCTGAACATTTGGGTCATTGCTAATGTTTTACTATTGTGAACTATGCTGCTAAAATATTCTTGTACAGGTATCCATGTGAACAACTTTCTGATTGCATATCTAACATGAATTGCTGGTTTGTGCGATATATACACCTCACTAAATGATGAAAAACTGCTTGCTAACTGGCCACATTGATTACCAGTTGAGATGCATGCCAGAACTTGCTAGTGTCAAACTTTAATTCTTGCTAGTCTGATCTTGTGAATTTGTATTTCATTGAGGTTTGAGTTTGCATTTCTCTGATTTTGAATTGTTTTATGAACACTCATGTTTCATAATGAACACAAATGAAACGTTTGTGTAAAATGCCTGTTTATCTGCTCACATATATCTAATAAGCTATTTATCTTCTTCTTACTGATTCATGGGATTTCTCTAATACTTCAGGTTACTACACTTCTGTTTGTTTTAAATGTTAACAAATATCTCTTATTTTTAGCTTGTGACTTGTTTCCTCCTGCTTACTGTGAATTTGATTAATGAAGGAACTTAGGTTTTAATAGGTATGTGAAGTTTTATACACAGTTTATTTTACTTATGCCTTATATATTTAACTTTTTTTTAAAAAAAGTCTAACCTTTATTTAAAAAAAAAAACAACTTTCTAACTTTAAAGTAATTCCCATGTAGTTTCTTCTAAAAACATTAAACTTTTGTCTATTACCTTTCAATCTTGGAATCATACAGAATTATATTCAGTAAACTTGCTTTACTTCTCACATCAGATTCTATGTTTGCATTAATTTCCTACTGCTGCTTTATCAAATCACCACACTCATTTTTTTTAAGATTTATTTTATTTTATGCATACAAAAGCTGGAGCACAGGCCAGAGGTGTAGGGGGTGAGAGGATTCACCAAAGAGAGAGTGGGGAGCTGAACAGAAAGACTGACTGAAATACACTGCTGAGAGAAGCAGTGAGGTCTGCTGTGCCATGTGGATTGCTTCCTGGCTGGCCGGGGGATCGAACTCGTGCTGAAGAGGCTGCGGATAGCTTCATAGGTTGCATCTTAACCCCTTGCGCCATCAGGGAGGTCCAAATCACCACACTCTTTATGGCACAAAACAACACATTGATTATCTTAAAATTCGCAAAGTCAGAATTCTAAATGAGGCTAATATCAAGGTGTCTTGGAGGTGGCAGAGAGGCTCCTCAGTGCCAGGGACTTAGTTTTTAAACATCTGATTTCTTCCCTCCTTCTCAAATCATGTGGGTTCACTTTTCCACTTTTTTTTTAAAGATATATTTATTTATACAAGCACTGGTGGGGTATAGGCCAGAGATCCAGGAGGGTGAGAGAATTCACCAGAGACAGAGTAGGGAGCAGAACAGGTGGAAGGACCGAAATACACTGCTGAGGGGAGCAGTGGATAAGACAGGAGAGTTCTGCCATGCCATGTGGAATTCTCCCTGGCCGGCTGGGAATCGAACTGGCGCTACAGAGGCCAAGGACAGCTTCACAGCGTGGCACTCAACCCGCTGCGCCACTGGGGAGGCCCTCACTTTTCCACTCTTTGAACTTGCCAAAAACAATGGTAATATTCCCTTCAGAGGGGATTATTACTGTGAACCTGCGGTGGGTTCTTGTTTGAAATGGAATAGTAAACTCTCAGTCAGATGGTCTCAGTGGAGTCCCTTTCCATACATTTTGCCCCACTCTCTTGCTATTGTCATACCATATCGGGGGCTTGAAATGAAGCCAAGAAAGAACACAGAAGATGGTATTCTGATGGTGAAGTGGAATATATTTATAATTATTGACCCTGAACCATTCTGTCCGGTTTTTGTGTGTGTCCCTTTTAAAGTTTCTGCAGAATTGGAAGGCTACTACTCATTATGGTCCCTGATCACTTTTGGTCCTTTATCGTAGAAAGGCTAAGTATAATTGCATTGCCATATTAGCCAGTAAGAATGGGTGATAAATTCAGCTGATAACGGGACTTTAAATGGTGAGAAGCATAGGATTCATTTACATTGTAGATCACTCACTCATTCATTAGCATCAGATTCTTGTTAATTGATACTCTCTTTGCAAAGAACTTCACCTTCTGCCTCTTTGACACCACCCTTTTCATCTGAATTACCTTCTGCCTCTTTGACACCACTCTTTTCACCTGATCTAAGGAATCCAGATGTGGCAAGATAATTTTGTGTACTTTTACTGGCATGTGAAATTTTTTATAGAATGCACTGAGCTAGTCTTCCAGAATACCTTTGGTTCATGCTAACTTTCAGTCATGCAAAATCCAACAAAAGAGAAGCATGTAGATCAATTATAGTACACTTTTTAATGAAATACTATTTCACAGTAAATACAGCTATTTCATAGTAAAATATTTAGTGACATGGAAAGATAGTCATAATATATTCCATGAGAAGCAGGGTTGATTAACAGGCTATAGGTCACATTTTGTGTAGTATCTTCCTATTTTGGGGCAGGGAGTGGGGGAGACTAAAGATGCATACCATATATATATGCAAAGGAAATAGTTATGGAAACATACACCAAAATTTTAACAGTGATTAGTCTGGGTAGGGGAATTATGAGTAATTTTTCCCTTTTGTATGTTTGCTTTCCTGGGTGTGTTTTCAAAATTTCTGCATTTAACATGTATAGCTTTTGTAATTAGAAGCAAAAACGGTAACATTTTCCTTTTTAAAGGATGGGGCTGAACATGGCTAGTTGGCTGTTTAGACAAGAACTCATGGTGCATGTATTTGAGGTCATCATAAGTTAGGGGTTCATTTTCAACCTTCAAGTTTATAAACAGAAGTTGATTAGTAAACTGAAGAACTCATGATGATACAAAATGATCATGATGTAGTTTTGTAGAGTGCTGGGTCCTTGGGTTCACTCTTAGAAAGGTGTCACCAGAGCTCCCGTTTCAGCGGCACGCGGCGAGTTTCCCAGGCGCGTTTCTCCATGAGACAGAGACATTAGTTATATTTAAAGAACAGGTTTATTAGGGAAAGGGAAAGGGACAGGTTTGCTGAGAGAGGCCTGCTTGGTTGAAGGCGGGCGGCCTTGAGGAAAGCTGCCTCTGCTGAGGAGGTCAGTGAAGAGAAGTCCCGGCATGGTACAGATCACGGGCAGGCAGGAGGCTGCTGCTCTGCAGAGGAGAGAGTTGGTGAAAAGAGGCACCTGCATAGTCACAGGTGGGCAGACGGAGTGCTGCCCCATTGTGAGGGCTGCATTAGGTTTTATCATCGTCAGGGAGGGGCTCATCTTTATGGGTGGATGGTTTGTGCCATTGACACTCCCTATAGCAATCTGATCATTTCTGGGTGTTGGGCCTCCTGATATGGGCATTGATGCCTAAGGGTCTTCATTTCTATTACTGGGTTAATAGATTATGCCAATCCCTCTACCCCTACATCCTTGTGTGAGTTAGGTTCTTGACCTTGTATCTCCTTTCCAGTTTTTCTATTCTTACCCTCCATCAGTCAAACTGGTTTCATGTCCCTAAGTCCTCTTACTCCTGCCTATATTCTCATTTTTCTATTAGCGTATGTACTCACTTTTTTTTTTTTTTTAATAGAGGCATGTTTTATTTATTTATTTATTTGTTTGTTTGTTTTATTTATACATGCACTGGGTACAGTCAGAAGCGCGGGAGGGTGAGAGAATTCACCAGAGCTAGAGCAGGGAGCAGAGCAGGCAGAAGGACCGAAGTACACTGCTGAGGGGAGCAGCGGGCGGCAGGAGAGGTCTGCACGCCATGTGGGACCCTCCTCCGGTGGCTGGGGAGCAGCCGGGGATCGAACCGGTGCCGCAGAGGCCGCGAGCAGCTTCGCAACCCAGCGCTCATCCGCTGCGCCACCGGGGAGGCCCTGTACTCACTTTTTAAAAGAATTTGACTCTTCTTTGGCTCTAAAGGAGAGTACCAAACTACTCTTCACAAAATTATATCCTAAACGTAAGAAAGGACTGTTGTCAATGATAATCCAACAGCCAGCCAGAATTTTATCTGCAAGTGAAACAGCACTTTATTTGGGGTCAAAAGGCTTTTGCAATCAGTAGCCACCACCTTGGGCTAACCATGTAAGTGGTCCTATGTAGGTGGAAAATTCAGAGCTCATAGAGACAGAGTTGCCTCCTATAAATAATAAAATACTAAAATTCTTGAAAAGGGAAAAGAAAAACATGCAAAAGAAGGGATATCTACTTGTCAGCACAGTAATAGATTTTCCTCTTTGAAACCAGGGTTGTAACGGAGTGGTCCCCAGGGAAAGGGGAAGTTCTGGGTTCCCTGCCCAACCCAAGGAAGGGTGGAGCTGAGCAGGGAGGAGAAGCTGGTGATAAGCTGAGGGAGAAGAAAAGCTCAAGAAGAGGAATTGGAGGAGGCACATGGAGCAGAGAGACATACGAAGAGGCTATGTTTGCTTCTCGGCCTTGGACTTGTACTAGGGACTTGGGGAATACTTGAAACAGAAGTGTGTGAGAGACCTGTGGGTAAATTAATAATGGCAGCATTTATCTTCATTTTGCTCTTTTCCTTCCAGGCTTGTCTGGTTCCTTCTTCCCATGGGTCCCCACCAAAAAGGTGCTTTAAACCTGTGGCAAGTTTTGGGGCCTCAGTGGCCCTGCTTTTGGCCAACAACCCTGTTTGGCTAGACATTTACCCATTGCGTGGATAGGTAAATTTGAGTGTTTTATGTGGAAATTATTTTATCTATTCTTTCCCTTTTCTTTATTGTACATTAATCATATTAAAGTTCTTTTCTATTGAAGGTCTTACGCACTAAGAGTATGTTTTGTCTTGATGAGGCAGGTGGCAGAACACATCATGGGTAGGTCCCATGATGCCCCTCACCCTGCCCTATACCAGAGTCAGACAGTGTGCTGATTCCTCTGAGAAGTGTGAAGCACTGTTTTTCCAAACTCCCCAAATTTCAGGTGTCAAGATGGTTTAGTGGGGGATGACATGCACTGTTTTAAATCCAGGTTACTGAGTGAGCAGGTGTGGTACATATACATAAGCCCCCAATTGGCCTGAAACATCCTGATTCCTTTTGATGTTCTCTTTATCAATTTTAATTCCATGATTTCTTAGTCATCTTTACAAAGTACAGTCATGAACCACTTGAGGACAGCTTATATAAAGTTCCTATCCAGAGCTTAGGTGTCTAGTAGGATATACCATCTAGGTTTGTGTAATTACATTATGACATTGGCACAAGGATACAATCTCTTAACATTTCTCAGGATGTATCTCCAGCATTAAGTGATGCATGGCTGTCAAGTCCCCTTCTAAGCAATGAGTATTTTTCATTATTTCCTGTCATTTGTTTAAAAATTATTCTTCTTTTAATTTGCAAGACAAGATCGTGTGCATTACCCTATTTTCTATGTTCGTAACTTACAGAGAGCAGGCTCCATTTGGAGAAGAGGAACAAGTGGGTACCTGGTAAGGGAGCATCTGTCCAGGAATCAGGAATCAGGTTGTACTGCAATAGCTTTCCTCCCCACCCCTACACTTGACCCCTCCAACAGGGGCTGTTTAAAAATTTTAATCAGATCATGTCCCTTTCCTGCTTACAATCACCCAATGGCTTCCCATTGCTTTTAAAATTCAGCTCTGCTGCCCTGGTGTGAAAATAAAGGAAAATCCCATTCAAAATGGAGTGGGAGGGTCAAAAGGGGGAGCTCACAGACCCAGCAGGAAGAAGGGAGGGTTTTCCCTTCCCTAGCAACTAAGCACTAACCAATGTTTGCCGCCAATGGGGAACTGCCACAACTTTGAGCTCTTGCTCTCCAATAAGCTTTTGTTCAAAACAACCCTCCCCAATTTCATCTGAATCCTAATAAAAGCTGACCTTTCCTTGTCTGTTGGAGTCTCCTATAGCTTGCTAGTCCGGAAAAACCAATTTTGTGGCTAAAATAACTGCCTGTTTTATTTTTGAGGTGGACAATCATTCCACTGCAGCCACACTAGCCTTCTCGTTGTTCCTCAGAGATGACACTTGTTCCCACCACACAGCATTTGTCCTTGTGTCCGCAATTCTTTTTTCATTTATGCACCTGATTCTTGTCCTCCAGGGTTTATCTCAATCTCCGCCTCAGCCAGGCCTTCCTTACTCCTCCCCCCATCACATTCATTGTTTTATTTTCTTTATAACACCTATCACGGCCTGAAGTGATCCTGATCATTTGTTGATTCATTTGTTCTTTTGCATCTCCTACACAAGAATTTTAACTCTGAGACATGCAACCTTGACTGGCTCCTTTATTGTCCTAGTCCCAACCTCTTGCAGACTAGACAGTATTAGTTGGGTGAATGAAGATCTCCACGCACTTTATCTTTAATGCAGGGTTAACTAGACGAATGTGGGCAGGTTGACTCAGATGCCAGCACATCCGAGCTCAGGGATTTCTAGATGCATGGGTAGGAGGAAGTCTTTATAAAGAATTGGGGGACTAGGGCATGGTGAGTCAATGAGGACAGTCTACACCCCATAATCTTCCCACAAGTTGGTGAGCTTGTTACAGGGCAACCCCAATATAAAATGGGTTGCCTGACTGGTGGGTCCTCACCCACGCGCTTAAAAGGACTTATTAATATTTAACTGCAGGCACACACAAAAGGTTAATAAAAGGTTTATTTACAAGGGAAAGGGGAATCCTTTCCCCCTAACTGTTAGGGGGAAAAGGATGTCCTAAAGCTAATTCCATACAGGCTTTGTGGACTCCACCCCCACCCCAGACCAAAGCCAAAGACACTGGGAACTCCAAATCCCATCCCCACCAAAGGGAAGGTAGCTGGGAACTGAGGGTGGGGTTAAGCAGCCAGGTTGATATAAAAGGCAGACACGTGGGCTTTGGGGGATCCCCCAATTTGGCTCTCCACCAGCTCGCAGCGTCTGGCCAGCTCTGAGAGTGACTTTGGGTTTCCAGGTCGTCGGATCGGGTAGGACGCATTAAAGACTTTATTTCCCTATTTTCTCCGTGAGTTGTACATTTTCTTTATTTCCTTTTTCCTTGTAAATAAACTTTTTATTAACCTTTTGTGTGTGCCTGTAGTGGAGTATTGATAAGTCCCTTGTAAGCGCACGGGTGAGGACCCACAGCCAGGAACCCCTTCAATATCGGGGCTGCTCTATAACATAACAAGCTCAGGAGAGAGACCCAGCGTTGCTTTAAGAAACAAGCAAATGGTGCAAGGGATTAAGCACCACACTGTGAAGCGATATCCACAGCCTCTGCAGCATGCATTAGATCCCCAGTGGCCAGGGAGTAACCCACATGCGCAGCAGACCTCTCCTGCTTCGCCCGCTGCTCCCCTCAGCAGTGTCTTCGGTCAGTCTGCCTGCTCCGTTCCCCACTCTGTCTCTGGTGCATCCTCTCACCCACCCACCCCCATCTCTGGCCTGTACCCCAGCTCTTGCATGCATGAATAAATATTTAAAAAAAAAAAAAAGGAAGAAAGAAACAAGCGAAGAGCCAATGGGAACTTTTGTTCTATTTCTGACACCGGGACCTGAAAGCCAGCGACCGGCGCGTCCCGGCGCAATCGGGCGTGAAGCCCGGCGACGCCCACAGGCCTCCCGGCCGCCTGCCCGGCCCAGTGCCCCAGGCGCCACCACAACTGCCTCCACCTGCTAGAGATCCGCTAACTCGCGCGCCAAAATGGCTTTCAAATACTAAATACAACTGACATCTTTTTACGGTTCGAAAAACCAAAACACAACTAAAAAAAACACAGAAACGGCCGGAGAAACAGGCCCCGTCGCCAGGCCCGGCGCTCTCGGCCCTCAGGCCGCCTAGGCCGCGGGCGACGCGGCGCGGACGGTGGGAGCGAGGGAGGGGCGGGGCCGGGCCGGCCGCTGACGTCGCCAGGCGGGCAGTGCGCAGGCGCCGGGCGGGTCGCGGGTGGTGTCGCGTGTGCGGCAGTTCGCGCGGGAGGCGGGCGCCGGGGCGCCGGGCGGCGAGTCGGTGGGCACGGGAGCCGTTGCGGGCCGGAGAGGAGGCCAGGATGGCGGCTCCGAGCAGGAAGACGACGGCCCCAACCCCCCTGGCTTCCAAGAGAGCCCTCCCTAGAGACCCGTCGTCAGAGGTTCCGAGCAAGAGGAAGAGTTCGGCCCCGCCGGCCCCGCCGGCCCCGCCGGCCCCGCCGGCGCCGCTGCAGTCGGCCGGGCCTTTCGTGGAAGGCTCCATCGTCCGCATCGCCATGGAGAACTTCCTGTGAGTGGTCCCGAGGCGGCCGCGGCCCCGCGGGCCTGGACGCGGGCTGTGTGCGTGGGGGGTGGGCGGCCGGGTGTGTTCCCAGCTTGGGGTTCTGACCGTGAGTTCGTCCCGGCGTTCCCGTGAGGATTTCCACTCTTAGGCCGTGGAGGTGGACGTGTGTGTGAGTGTGAGGTGGGCTTGTTCCTTCCGTCCAGGTTACCCGGAGGGGTCGTGTGGCTGGCATTCGGCCCCGAGCCTCTGCGCCCTGGGAGTGGGGGTATCGAGGGAGGACAGGGTGTGTAATTAACAAAACTGTGGGCCCCGGGGACTCTGGAGCAACAGTTTAGTTAGAGTAGCACTGATGCTATGGCAGGTCCGTCAGGAGGAGGCAGTTGCCAGGTGGACAAAGATGGTGGAGGTTCGAGTGTACAGGGAAATTAAGGTCAGCTGTCAGTTTGGGGCTTCCCAGCAGACACTAGGCCTCTCCAAATCCAACTTTCTCCCCCGGTTTCTTTTTTCTTTCTTCGGACAACTGATAATCACCGTAATTATTTCCGAATTTAGTAAATGTGTTTTACCACAAATATTGCGTACCTGTCTAGCACCGTAATCATGGAATCAAAGTCTTTTTAAAGCTGACACGTAGTGGCTGAGTGGCAACAATTGCAGGGACAATAGGAACATGTTTTAAAGCACTTATCATGTGCCAGGTACAGAAAGAGCTCTGTTTACATAGTGCTCTCATTCTTTCCTCATAATAATTCTTTGCATTTTCTCCATCGATGAGATAAACTCAGGCTTATGCAACTTGTAAATTAGCTGAATTGCTTTTTGAATCCAGATCAGGTAAAAGAAATATAATCAGATGAAATAGGGAGCATAGTAATGTATTTATCCAGATACCATGGGGCACAAAGGATGGGATGATGTGGTTAATTTCATCCAAAACTGTGAAAAAGGATTTTGTATAGGAGGTTATGAAACTCTTAAAAGAGGTGGATAGCAGTGTAGACAGAAAGAACTGCCTGAAACAGTTTACTGTATTTACGGAGAGTCAGTATTTCTTGAACATGTGTGTGAATATGTGAATAGGTTATATTGAACAGGTAGATATTATCGAGCCTCTGTTTACTATGCTAAGGAATTCAGACTTCATCCAAGTTTGAACAACCTTGCGTTTTAAGTAGGGAATGACATGTAATTTATATTATGCTGGAAGCTGTGTGAAGAATGTCTTAGAAAGGGTGCAAGATTGGGAGGCAAGAAGATGTTTACCTTATGAAGGCAAGAGATGATCAGGTTTCAACCGAGTAGCAATGGGGAGGTTGGAGCTAAAAGCAAAGAGATTTGACATGTTCTAGCTACAGATTAGTTGTCAAGAGTGAGAGTCAGGGAGTGGAGCACTTTTCTCTTCTTTGTCTTGACTGTTTGGTCAGATATGGTGCTATTCAGAAAAAGGAGCAATTTGGTCAGAATAATATTAAGTGCCTTTTGGATCCTGTTACTTGAAGTTTCTTGTGGAGCATTTAAAAGAAATATTTAACAGGTAATATTTATAAGGGTCTGGAGCTTATAAGAAAATGTGAACAGGTGAGAGATTTGGAGATGGTTGTGTATCAGTTACTGTTTAAGGTTGAGAAACAGTTGAAATTGCCCAGAAAGAATTATAAATAGGAGGAATAAAAGCCCACAGTCCTGGAGGAACAATTAAAGATGCCAACAAGTAAGGGGCATCAGAAGAGAAACACACAGACTGAGGAGGTACTATTCAGGAAGGTAAGGAGAACCCCTGGGAGAGATTACCAAAGCCAAGGAAAAAACATTTCAAAAATATCACCTGCTATATTGAAGTTAAGTAACAGCACTGAAAAGATAATAATTTAGCATTTAGGAAATCTTTGACCCTTTGGTGAAACAGTGGAAGCAGAAGACTTTGCAAGTCACATAAGAAAGCAAAGCATAGAAGTGAAGAGGAAAGGAAAAGATAGCCGGAAAGTGCAGAGCTAGGTGAGGTCCTATTTATTTTTATAATGACAAGAGTTTGAGGTGTGGGAATGAAATAGGAAGGATAGGCTTAGGGGATCAAAATCACCTTGAAGAAACTAGTCAGGGGAACAATCAAATGGGATTGGGAACAGAGGGAGAGATTTCTGTGCAGAATGATATAATGCAAAGACTTGGAGAAAGAAGGAAGTGCAAGATAATCAAAAAAACTTCATTATAAGTATAAGTTAGAGGCCTGATTAAAGAATAGGGGAAGAAGATAGAATTTTTTTTAAAAAAAGATGCTAGAGCTAAATTATGAAGGGTTTTGGTTCTTTTTTTTTTTTAAGATTTATTTATTTTTATACAAGAATTGGGGTACAGGCCAGAGATCCAGGGGGTGAGAGGACCCACCAGAGACAGAGCGGGGAACAGAACAGGCAGACAGACCGAAGTACACTGCTGAGGGGAGCAGTGGGCGAGACAGGAGAGGTCTGTCCTGCCATGTGGGTTTCTCCCTGGCCGGCCGGGAATCGAACTTGTGCTGCAGTGGCAGCGTATTTCTTCATAGGTTGTGTCTTAATCCCTGCGCTACCAGGGAGGCCCCTCAGTTCTTTTTTTTAACAGGTGACAGGTTTGCATATCTTACCAACATGATTTGGTGATGATTTGCATGATGGGGTAAGTGGAAAAGGTGAAAATGGTAGAATCAAAGAGGATGCTGAACTAATGTCTAAGTTTTTAATTTAGTCAATGGGATAAATGATAACATTCACTAAGAAAAGTAATTTTGAGAAACACAGTGGGCTTACTGTTGAATATTTTAAATTTGAGGAGACCGTCATGGGATAACCAAATAGTTACTGAGGTGATCATTGCATGTCTGAGTTAACTTTGAGCATGTACATGCTGCCGAGGCTATGCGTAGTACCTAAATATAGACTAGGAGGGAGAGGGTTCTCTGGTAATTTCTCTTTCGGGGGCGCTTAGAGAAAATGGAATTTCCAATAAACAAATTGTAGGGTTTTTTAATGCAGCAGTTCTGTATTTGGCAGCTCTTCTTGTTAGTAATATCTGTGTGTGTTTGTTTATAGGCCAGAAGTTTTCATACTTTTCCCTGTTTTTTATTGTTTTTCTTAAAATATCAGTTGCTTCACTATTTTGGAGAAATGCATACAGCAGGAAATTCAAGTATAAATTAATAGGGCCTTTCATGTATTGAGATTAAGAGGTTCCAGATCAGGAAATTTTCTGGATGTCTGAAGTTCCCAGACTGATTTCATTTTAACCACTATAAAGGGTTCCTTTCAGACTCAGCTGCTAACAGAACAAAGCACCTGAAAGGATAAAGTAGATAGGTGCTGTGTAGAAACGTGGGCTTGGAAAACTGCTAGAAAATACTTCTCCTTTATTACCTATATTTATTTTTATTGATACCTGGCATTTCAAAATTATCAATTTCTTTAAGAATTAAAGGTGAGGTCTGCTTGGTTCAGTTGTTTATATATTTAGCAGGTTAGTGGCAGGCTAAGCATTTATCCTTGGGGAATTGGCAGCTAACTGGAATAGGACCTTCTAGGAATAGGACCTTTTTTTTTTTTTTTAATTTTGAATTTTATTTATTTATTTTTAAGTAATAAATTTTATTTTTATATTCCCCCATACAATTGCAAACCCCCCATTCTGACCCCAATCCCTCCCCTCCCGGCCCCCACCCCCCAAAAAGTGTCTCTGGTTCATAGTTTTTTGTTGATTTTGATTTTCACTTTCTTATAGTTATTCATTTTCCTGGTCCCTTATTTAAGTTTTCTAGATTCCTGCTATGAGTGAGACCATCCGGTATTTTTCTTTTTCTTTCTGGCTTATTTCGCTGAGCATGATCCCTTCCAGCGCCATCCATGTTGCTGCAAATTGCATGTGTTTATCTCTTTTGAATGCTGAGTAATATTCCATGGTATATATGTACCACATCTTCTTGATCCATTCATCTATTTTTGGGCATTTGGGCTGTTTCCAAAGCTTAGCTATTGTAAATAGTGCTGCTTTAAACATAGGGGTGCAGGTGTTCTTTGGAATTGATGTTTCTGTGTCCTTTGGGTAAATACCTAGGAGTGGAATTGCTGGATCATATGGAAGCTCTATGTTTAGTAGAATAGGACCTTCTTAATGCTTTCAATTCTGGCTATTCAAAGACAAGTTAGAAGACTACCTGAGTCAGATTTTGCTTCATATTTTGCCTTAACTATCCCTTTGGGACAGTCTATTAGTATATTGATAACTAATAGTCTAAGAAGAATTAGATATTACTGTTGCAGGTAGTTAAGTATTCTGGACAGTTAGATTGCTGGTATGAATATAACAAAAGTACTTGATAGTAATTAATGAATTCTTGTTTTCTCCTACAGAAATAAAATTTATTTAAACATAGACTAACAATAGACCCTGTTGTATATTTTTTCTTAATAATAAAATGAAACTATTGGGTTATATGTGTGTGTACATACAGGTCAGATTTCTAATTAGAATTAAAATAATTTGGATTGTTTCAGCTATTAAAATATGAGACTTTGCTACTAAGAATTTTAATTAGAAATATAAATGTAAAATTGACAATTTTAAGATGAGTCATGGCTTACGGAAAATTTTTTTTAATTATTTGTACAGTAGCATTGCTATGTATTGTAATTATTAAGAAAAGAATAAGTAATATCAAACTGCTTAATTCAACGGACTTACATTTGAAAGGGTTATATAAAATCTTATTTTCCCACTGATGTTCTTAGTTAAGATGCATTATCACTTTTTCATTTCTTCCACTGATTACTTCCTCTTGTTTATTAACGACCTATAAATAATATTGCATTTGTAATTTTAAGGAATTTGAGGAAACCTTTAGAAAATGATCATGTAAAGCAGAAAAAATATTCTTTACTTCTTATCTCTGCTTTCTAATTTCACCCCTTTACAATTCAGAACATACGATATCTGTGAAGTATCTCCTGGACCTCACTTGAATATGATTATTGGAGCTAATGGAACAGGGAAGTCCAGCATTGTGTGTGCCATTTGCCTTGGCTTAGCAGGGAAGCCTGCTTTCATGGGACGGGCAGATAAGGTGAGTTAACATAAGTATTGATAGTTTAAAAAAAAGAAATAATCAGAGCTGTGATTTGCTTTTTCCAACATCTATTAGTATATCTCAGTTCTCAGGTATAGCAAATGTTTAGTGCCTGAATATAAAGAATGAACTTGGCAGGTAGAAAAGCTGGGAGAGTCCATTTCGAGAAGTATTTTGACTATAGGGAATTCCTCAGTATGTAACACCTGAAATCTTAGAAATGGTACAAATAGTACAAATGTATTGATGGGTTTCTGGAAAGGTGAAGTAAATTTACCAAAAGCAAAAACAAAATTGTGTGGATCTAAATAAGGACTTAAGCAAGCTCTGAATTTGCTTCCCCAGGGGCATTTGCTTACATCACACTTGAAACCTGATTTGGAATTTGTTGCACATAATTTGAGGGGTTAGTGACACTCTAAGGTAGGGAAGGCCTAGAAGATAAAATTAGAAACCAAGTATTGTGTATAGTAGAAACAAACACCACCATAAATTGGGGTGATAGGGTTAATTATCTCATTATTAACTCTGAATACAGAGGAAACAAAAAGAAAATTGTACTTAAGAATTCTTAACCGCAGCCTTAAGACATGTTGGGATCAGAGTTCCTATTATCTGTGTTGCCTAAGTAGCATAAATTTTAATTTTATTAGTGCAAAGTGGACCCAGTTAGTAATATCACCACCTAGCAGTAGCAAATGTAGATCCTCTGATCCTCTAAAAAAAGGTCTTCAGTCCAGTTCTCAAAAGAATTCTAACACTTAAATTCCAAGAAATTTATGAATCTATAACTAAAAGTCACAAAACATAAGAGGAAATGAATCACAAGAAGTAAAAGCTAACAAAATGGTAGGCTGTACAATAAAACCAAGAAGGCTTGACGATACAGAATACAAACTAGAAATATTTAATTTGTTTAAAACAATGGAAAGATGCAACTATAACAAAGGAAAAGGTAACAAAGATCAGGTAAATTTGAAAAAAATCAAGTAGAACTTAAATATTATTTGAAGAGAAAATCTTTGTGAACAAGAAAACAACAGCAGACTATTTGCAAAGAATTTTTGAGCTAAAATACTTGAAGATTTTTCATAAAATGCATTGTAGAGATAGGAAAAATATAATACTGGGGTTGAGACATGATAGGTAAAGGAAGATAATACGGTATAGGTCTAATTATCTCCAGGGGAGATAATAGAAAAGGAAGAGATCATTTTCAAAAAAAGGCTGGCTACAAATTTTTCAAAAACATAAAAAACTAGAATCTTGAAATTGACAAGGCTTCATTAAGAAAAATGGAAAGAAGGCATAGACACATTTTAGTAAGTTACAGAAATATAGTGGTACTATAGTCTTAGAATGGGGGCAAGAGGGAACATAAAAATAAAGCCTGAGATCCTCATTAAAAGGACTTTGAAAGCATATGATTTAGGAAAAAGGAAAGTGACCTCAGAAGGAAAATCTGAGATGTAAGAAGAAATGAGGGAGGGAAAAAAAAGAGATAATGTTGAGGGAAATTATATAACATGGAGGGAAATTATATTCAGGCTATATAAAATAAGTTTAAGTCAAATAAGATAGAACAGTTGTACTGCTGGACAACAGAGAGGACTTGTTCAGTTCAAAAAAAGTCTTTGGATTTGTATTGCTGGGAGGAAATTATAATTAACTTTTAGTTTATTAAGTTAAATATGCATGTTAAAATTTCTAGGGTAAATCACTAAAAATGTCAAAGTATATAACCTTCAAGGAGAAAGATTTAAAAAAAAAATGAATGAGGGATAGGAAGAGGAAAAACAACCACTGTCCCAAAAAACCTATAAGAAGACTTGAGATGGATGAGGAGAAAAGAAACGAATATAGGCAATTAGATCATGGTAAAAAATGCATGCAATAATTATAAATGGTCTAGATTCTTATTAAATGAGAAAGTGTTAGAGTAAATGAAAAGTTCATTTCTGTTGTTATTCACAGTAAGTATATCTACATTAAAAAGCTAAAGAAAAGTTTTAAGTGAAAGGGGGAAAATGAATTAATTATAAAAAAGGAAAGGCTTAGCTGAATACCAGGCAAAATAGACTTTGAATTAAAAAGTACATTTAGAAATAGTTATTTTCATTAAGTATTGATGAACAAGTCAGGTGAACAAAAAGATAATTCAGTATTCAGCTTGAATTCACATACTCTAGCTCCAAAATATATAATAAACTCAGCAGATCTTTTATAGGGCTTTAACAGATCCATAATCATATTGAGAGGTCTCAATAATAGATAGATCAATTAGATAAAAAATTAGTAAGAATAGAGAGGACTTGAAGAGCAGGTAAGCTTAAGCTAATGGGCAGGTTATGAACACGGAACTCAACATTTGTATAGCATACATTCATTTTCAGCACAAATGGATCATTTCTGAAAAGCCATATATTGAGGCATAATGCAAGTATCAAAAAAAGGCAGTTGGTACACAAACTATATTCTGACTACAACACTGTTAAGATTGAATAACAATACCAAAAGATTACTAAAATTTTCCCATTTGTTTGAAATGAAAACTATACTTCTGTGTTATAACATAGGTCGAAGAAGAAAGAACAATACATGTTTTAAATTAAGAACAAATTAATAAAATAATAAACAATGATAAAAACAAAACAAAAATTGCCCTTCAAAAAGACTGATGGATTCAGTAACATCTAAGAAGATAAAGGGGTGGAAAATATAAAAGGAATGAAAAAAGTAATAGTTAAGATGTGTTATATTGTGATTACAGACAACCCCAGAACATAACTGGTTTAAATATACAAAAGATCAATCCTTGTTCTTGCTACTTCGTGTAGGCCCTTTGGTACCTAGGCTAATGGAGTCTTCATTTCAATACATGCGTGCCATAATTGCCTCTTCAGGGGGAAGGGGACTGACTCTTAAAATTTCCTTCAAAAACTAGAAACCTGTTTTTATGCACACATTTCACTGGACACAGCAAGTCACAAGCCCACACTTTGCATTAGAGATAATGAGCAAGTGCTTTAAGGAGAATCAGTATATTCATGAACTGATCTAATGACTATATCAGGACATTATCAAAATGCAGCTGAGATTTAAAAAATAAGAGAATGTTGTGAACAACTTTATGCCAGCGAAGTTTAAATTTTTAAAAAGTTGTGACAGATTTTTATAACTATGTAAAATCAAAATTTAAATAGAGGGGTCTTCCCGGTGGCGCAGCGGTTGAGCACTGGGTTGCGAAGCTGCCCGCAGCCTCTGCAGCGCTGGTTTGATCCCGCAGCCGGGCAAAGGTCCCACATGGTGCGCAGACCTCTCCTGCCACCCTCTGCTCCCCTCAGCAGTGTATTTCTTTGACATTCTGCCTGTTCTGCTCTCCCCTCTGGCTCTGGTGAATTCTCTCACGCTTCTGACTGTACCCAGTGCTTGTATAAATAAATAAAAATAAATCTTTTAAAAAAAAAAATTTAAATAGAAGAAAATCAGCTGTTAATTTTCTAAGTACATCAGATGAAGACAATTATGGATTAGTTGTAACAGCAATAATTTTCTAATTGAAAGATTTATTTATTGTATTTATATGTGCATACAAGAATTGGAATGTAGGCCAGAGGTGCGGGGGTTGAGAGGATTCACCAGAGACAGAGTGGGAAGCAGAACAGACAGATCTGAAATACATTGCTAAGGGGAGAGTGGGCAAGACAGGAAAGGTCTGCAGCACCATATGTAGGTTAGCTCCCTGGCCAGGAATCGAACTTAGAACTTCCTGGCTATGGCACTGAGACTTAACAGCTAGGCCACCAAGGAGGCCCTAATTTCCTAATTTATACAGAGAGATGACTCTAGGTATCAGAATCAGTCAGGAATAGAATGAGATTACAAGCTAGTCTCACTCATGAGTATAGATGCAAAAATTTCAAGAGAAAAGGAACATTAGCATGCTGAATCTAATAACAAAAAATACATACAATAGCACAATGAAATAAAATTTATGCAAGAGATTGAGTATTAGAAAAAAAATTAACATTACATTTTAAAGAAGAAAATCATCTCAATAAATAGAGAAAAAGCTTTCTGTTAAATTCCACAGTGATTTATCTTTGAAAATTCTTTGCAATTTAGGAATAAAAGAGATTCTTTTCTTTGCAGTTGAGGTATAGTTAGAAGGGAACTTTCTTAATTTCATAAAAGTTAGCTGAAAATATATAGCAAGTTCAGGAATAAATCGAAGTTACTCACTATCACTACTCTTCACCATTGTACTGCCAAGTTCTAAGTAGAACAGTAATGTAAGAAAAGGTAGTTGCTGGAAAGAGAGAAAACTGTCATTTACAGATTATGTGAGTGAGTGTGTAAAATTCACAAAAGCGTCATCAAATAAGTCTTATGCACTAATATGTAAATTTATCAGGATTGTTATACATAAGATTACATAACAAAAATCAATAGCATTTCTAAACACAGACAACAAAAAATGCAGTTAAAAATAGATACATTTACAGCAGCAACAAAAGTCCAGATTATAGCAAAAAATTAAAAAAAAAAGTGTGGAAATTATAAAATTTTATTTAAAAACATTGACGTTTGTGGGCTTCCCTGGTGGCGCAGGTGGTTGAGCGCAGTGCTATAAAGATGTCCACAGCTGCTGGAGTGGCGGGTTTCATCCCAGCCAGCTGGCAAGAATCCCACATGGTGAAGCAGCCCTCTCTGGTCTCGCCCGCAGCTCCCCTCAGCAGTGTATTTCGTCAGTCTGCCTGTTGTGTTCCCCACTCTGTCTCCGGTGAATCCTCTCACCCTCCTGCGCATCTGGCCTGTACCCCGATTCTTGTATAAAAATAAACAAATCTTAAAAAAATTGAAGTTTGAGTAAGTGGATAGTTATAGTATATTAAACGGCCAGAAGACCTAATATTAAAAGTATTATTTACATGGATATATAGAGCTATATATATATATATGTATATATATCTATATATATATACACATGGGTATATATACATGAATGTATATACATGGATATATAGAGCTATATATATAGATATATATAGATCTCTCTATATATATCCATTGAATATTCCAATCAAAATCCCAATACTATCTGTAATGAATTATAAGCTGGTTCTAAAATTAGATGGAAGAAGGGCCAGAATAACTAAGCTGTTCATGAAGTGGAAAAAAATGGTGTAAAACTTGCCCTACCAGATATCAAGACTTAATATGAAATTACAGTAAATTATGACATTATAGCATTGACTTAGGAATATATAATAGACCTTGTGATTTGACAGAGTAAGAGCCCAGATCAAAGTTGTGATTCATGGTAGCAGTCACTTGCTTTATAACAGAACTAACTGTAAATCAGTGGAGAACGGATGGATAAATATACTGAGACAGTTAGTTACCTGTATAGGAAGAACATGAAATTGATTCCTATCCTCAGTTTAATACAAACTCATTTGGATTGAAGATCTAAATGATTGACCAGAAGGCTAAAGAAGATACTGGTAATAGAAAAGAATATCTTTGTGACTTCATGTTAAAAGAGAAATTTCTTAAAAGTATAGACCAAAAAGGAAAATATTGGTAAGTTCAACTATAATATAATTAAGAAACTTGTTCATCAAAAGATACCATATAAAGGAAAAAAAGCTGTAATTGAGAGAAGTTACATATAATAAAAGATTGGTATCCAAAATTGGTATCCAAGATTGGTATCTGCTATGTGATTAGCAGAACAGTAACAACTCAAAAGAAAAATGAATAGAAGATATCCTCTCATCTCACAAGAGACAACCCAGAGCAGCATGTAAACATGCGCAACCTCATTAATTGTCAGAGAAATGTAAATTAACCCTGGCAAAGTATATCCATTAGACAAAAATTCTGGCAGTACCATGTGCTTACAAGGACATGAAGCAATGAGGAGCTCTCATGTATTCTTGGTGGGATTATAGATTTGTACAACCTCCTTGGAAAATGATAGGGCATTACTGTAGGTTTACCCAGTCAAAATTCTCCCACCTGCATTAATAAGTTCTTACACATTTATGCTAGATGAAATTATGGAAATATTTTAGTACTAGTTTAAGTTCTAATATGTCAACTTTTATTTTTTTTTTTAATATATACAAGAACCAGGGTACAGGCCACAGGTGCAGGAGGGTGAGAGGATTAACCAGAGACTGAGTGGGCAACACAACAGGCAGACTGATGAAATACAATGCTGAGGGGAGCGACGGGTGAGACAGGAGAGGTCTGCTCACCATGTGGGCATCTCCGCAGCTGGCGGGGATCAAACCGGCACTGCAGAGGCTGCGGACAGTCACAGCACTGTGCTTATCCGCCTGCGCCACCAGGGAGGCCCACTAATATGTCAACTTTTAAATGACAGTGAAAATAAACCTTAGTTTATTGGTTAAATTTCAAAAACAATTTTAAGAAAAAAATGCTATCTTAGAAGATTATATGTAATGAATTCATTTGCAGAATGGTCAAGAACAAAATGTTGACTGTGTATATATAATATATACAAACTTTTATAGTATATATGCACTATATATATATGGTATACATACACACTTAAACATATGCATATATATAGAGAGAGAAACTAAAACAAAAATGCTCAGGAAATGAACTTTAAGAGAATGTTTGTTGAGGAATGAGATAGTTGAGATGAGTTACACAGGACTAAATGATAATTTTCAATTATTTAAATAGACAATAGATAGTTGGTTTTTTCTTCTAATTCCTTAAGCAATATTTTTAGTTTTTATTAATCTGTTTGGTATAAAAACATGTTTTAAAAAAAACAAGTTTTAAAAAGAAGGTCTGAAAGTTGAGTTGTTAGCCTATTGTAAAATACTTTAAAACTTGAAATGATTGTTTTTCTAAAATGATTGCAGATATTACAGTATTACCAAGATGATAAAGCAAGTTTCTTAACCAGGCTAAAATTTTAATGTAGGGTTATAGGATTGTGGCTAAGTACACAAACCCTGGAGCCAAATTATCTGGGTTTAGATCTTTACTCTGCCACTTACAGGCTCTGTCATGAGCTTTGTAAGAGGTTAACTGTCTGACACATAGAAAGTTCAATAAATAGTAACTAATACTGTTATTGGTGGGTAGAAACAACAGAAGAGACCAAATCTGGGAAGGGTGCCTTTAGAAAGTGATGAGAATGGACTTATAAGTAGTTTTTGAAAGACTCTGGATCTCACAAATAATTATGACTTTGCTAAAACTGATTATTTACTGGGGCATGTCATCACATAGCTCACTGTCTTTTTATGTCTTAGGTTGGCTTTTTTGTGAAGAGAGGGTGTTCCAAAGGCATGGTTGAAATTGAATTGTAAGTGTCAAAGTGCTGAAATCACATTTTCCTATGTAATTTTCTAGTTTGTGTTCATGCTTTCTGATGACTTTAGGAAAGAAAAGCACTGTAATATCATGGCATAAATTCTAAAATTTTTTACCCAGACAGGTAAGTTTTTTGATTTTGTTTGTCTGTTTCTAAAATATTTATTTATTCATGCATACAAGAACTGGCACGGTGTAGGCCAGAGGTGTGTGTGTGTGTGGGGGTGAGACGATTCATTAGAGACAGAATGGGGAGCAGAACAGGCAGATCTACTGAAATACACTGCTGAGGGGAGCAGCAGGTGAGATAGGGAGAGGTCTTTGCACCATGTGGGTTAGCCCCTCACCGGGGATCTCAGGATCGAACTACTTCTGCAGTGGCTGGCAATAGCTTGATAGCACTGTGTCTTTAACCCCTGTGCTACCAGGGAGGCCCCAATTTTGTTTGTTTTAAGTGTCTTTTAAAACCTCAATTATATGGAAAAATTCTTAAGGAAATGATAAGTTTATGGGAAATAGTGAATGGAGATATACCACTTAAAGACTTTTTAAGTAATTATAGTATTTTTCACAAATTTAAGATGTCTTTTTCCCCCGATTTTGAAAGTACTACTTACTTGTTTTTAAAAATGTAAACAATATAAAAATGAATAGCAATGTAAAAAAATTTAAAAAAGAAATAACTGACAAAAAAAAAACCAGTATAGATGTAATGTAAAGTTCAAAATGAAGGCCTTTTTGTCATAATTCTACATCTATAAATTCTACATCTACAAATAACCACTGTTGATAATTTAGTCAATTTCATGTATGACAAATACTTGAAATTTAAGTCAACGTTTTCCATTTTCTCCCTCATTGGAATTGATAATGCATTATAATATCCCTTTCCCTCAAATCCATATATTCTCAATTTATTCTTGCTGCCTTTTCTCATCAGTCACAATGTGAAACCTATTGTTTACTTTCAGCCTTTTGTGCATGGATATGTATATTAACTGCATAGTTTTTTAGAGTGTTACATAAGTATGGAGAACTGCAGATGTTAATAAGCATTTTTAACTTTTTTACTCTCAGTCTCCAAGACCTAGTTATTGTACTCTTAGTTATCCAAAGAGTTAAACTTCTCAAACTTCTCAGTATGTGGTAGCAACTAAGAAGCTATAATAATCTTACCAGTTGCCATTAACCAGAGTTCTGTTACCAGGTTTGGCACAGGGGAGGTTTCTCTTTCCTAAATTCAACATGGTTATTACATTGTGGTCACTTATTCTATAAGGGTCCTCATGACTTTGAGAGTACCAAACACAAAACATGAGAAACTAACCAGATCACCGTTAGTTGTTGCTATTGTTAATGCTGTTAAGTGCATTAATTGGCCATGTACTCATTGAGTGGAATCTTGGGCATGTTTATGCAATCTTCTCTTAAATGTTGGGTATATAGTATTCTGCCCTTGGGGAATTTAATGTTAAGGACAGATAAATTGGTAAAACATAATCATGTTAGATGGTAGAAAGTGACACAAAGAAAAGAAAAGCAGGAAGGGAAAGATAGGGAGTGCCACTGTGCAGCTGACAGTGTTAAATAGAATGATCAGGAAAGTTCTCACTGGGAGAATAGTATTTGAGCATTACCTGATGGAGGTGAGGGATTGAACTTGGATATATATATCGGGGAATAACATTTCAGATAGAGCTATCTACAAATGCTAAGACACAGTGTGACTGGATTGTATTGGACAGGAAAGAGTAAAAGATAATGGGGAATCAGGCCATTGTAAGGACTTCACATTTATTTTTCATAAGATGTGAAGCCACCCGATTTTGAGCAGAGAAGCAGCATGGTCTAACATAAATTTTAACCAGATCATTTAGGTTGCTATGTGGAAAATAGACTAAGAAAACAAAGGAAAAACAAGGCTGTCAGTTAAGTGATTAATGCATTAACCACGAAAGAAGTGAAGATAGCTTAAAATTTGCTCACAAATTTAATATAGGGTGTGGGGGAGAGAGGCATCAAGGAGGACTGCGGGGTATCAGCATACTTAATAAGACCATTTCTCTATTAATTAGAGAAAATTGCTATAGGAATTTAGGTGTAAGATCAAAAGATCATTTTGGAATAGATCATATTTCATTGACTTATAAATACATGATTTATAAATTTCATAACTTACAGAATACAGCTTCCAACTAAACTGTGACAGCTTGAAATGTGGATCCAATTTCAGAAATGTTGATATAAAGACAAATACACTAACAAAACAATTACAAATGCTTTTCAGAATAGCAATAACAAAAACAAATGCTTTTCAGAATCAATAAAACAGTAGCTTTAGATGCCTAGTAGACATTCAGGTAGAATTCTTGAATGGAGAGTTAGATATAAAGCTCTGTTTGTAAGGGAGAGATCTGGACAAAAGATTGAGGAGAGTTATCAATCAGTATTGGGATGGGTGAAATCACTAAGGGAGAAGATAGAGATGAAGGAAAGAAGTCTGAGAACTAAACCCTGTCACAATGAAAGATTTAGAGATGCACATAAGAAAAACTAGGAAAGGGAGCAGAAGAATTTGGAAATGTATCTCAAGTATGTAGTATCTGGAAAGCAAAACTTTGAATGGTTTGAGGAAAAGGGGTTATATGTCTGATGCTGCTGATAGATCAAGTAAAATTAGGACAAAATTCTCATTGGTCATTGTAGATCTTAACAAGTTTTGGGGAAAGAGGTGGTACTTTGTTTATTCTTAGTGGCTGTTGAGGAAAGACCTGTCTGAGACTATCTCTGAGCTGAGAACTGTTTGATTAATAAAGGACCCAGTCATTAAAAGAACTGGGAATAAAGTGTCCCAAGGCAGAGGAAATAGTTTGTGCCAGAGATCTAAATAGGAGTAAGTATGTTTCTCAGGAACAGAAGAATGCCAGCGTGACTGGAGTGAAATGAGTTATTTGTTGTAGGGCTTTGGAAATACCACTTACTTGTTTGGGGTGTTCCTTTCTGTTCCTGATTTGGAATGCTCAGTTATGAATAGCAAGTAGTATTTTATAACATAAAGCTGATAGTATGTTATCAGCATCTATCAAATTAACCATATTTTAATTAATAAATTCAGGTAATTTCCTAATGTGCACTCAATTTTGCATTCTTAAGAATAACTGTAGTATAGTCATAACGTCTTTGATGCATTGCTAGATTTGATCTTATATCAGCATTTTGTTTGTGAAAGGATATTTGTTGAATGCATAAATTTATTGGTAAAATCATTTGGGCCTAGGTTTTTGTTTTTTAATTTTTTAACTGTTGATTAGGTTTATTTGGTGGTATTGGATTATTTAATTTTTCTATTCATGAATCATTGTAATTTTTACTTCTAAAACAATTTTCCATTTATTTTAATTGGCTAGTATGTCTTATTATGTAAGCTTACCACACATGAATCATTGTGTTATATCATCTATCGTCTTCAGTAGTTGTATTGCCCTTTCATTTATGTTCTTTGCTTTTCTTGATTTTAAATTGATTTGTCAGTATTAGTCTTTTTTAATAAATTAACATTTGCATTTTTTTTACTACTAATTCTTTAAACTTGATTTTTTAACAATTTTCCTGATTTCTTACACTAATTTTTGTCTTGTGTTTTCCCTAATATAAATAGTTGTGGTAAAAAAATTCCCTGTTAGTCTTGATTTGACTCCATCTCTCAGATTTTGGTATGTAGTATTTTCCTGTTTTTTGATTTTTGAGTCTTCATCTTCTTTAAAGTCCTTAATTAAGTGGCTTGAAATTCTATTGTATTGATTTTCTTATTATATTTAGTTTTGATTTCCATTTTCATAGTAGTGTGGTGTATGTGTTGGGGGGTGTATATATATAAAATCTTTATGTTACCAATTCTTTAAAATTTGTTGAGGCTTATTTTTATAGTGAGCATTTATAATTGTTCCTTATTTGGTTGAAATAACCTTATTTGGTTGAATTGTTTTAGACAATGTTCTCTATCCATTAGTTTAAGCTTATTAGTTATAGTGCTAAATATATCCTATATTTTTTGCTAATTTCAAACTGTCCCTAGTGCTGGTGCTAGTGATGAGTTTTTCTAGTGTACCCTGACACTGAGGATATAGCACTTCGGGTAAGCTCTATTTTGTCTGCAATCCTTCTCCCCAGAGACCATAAAAATGAATGTGCAGTGTTACCTGGTTGGACAAAATGCCCTCAAGGTAAAAGCCAATTTCAGTATTCCACCTCTGGGTTCTAATTTGTACTGGGATTTTGACCAGAATTCTTTTTTTTTCATGCTAACTCATAAGTGCACAAGATATTATATATTTTTTCTATTACTTTTAGTCATTTCAGCAAGAGGATCAATAAGGATATGTTGTTAGTCATTCTGCTATAAGTGAAAGTTTAGAACTACTATTTTTTAAGTCCTGTTAAAGTATTCTGATGCCTATACACACACATTCGTCATTGTCATTTAATCTTTGGATACCAATAATTTATCTTTCTACCACATGCTGCTGATTCCCAATGAAGAAGATGGATGAATAGATGGTAATTGTGTAATAGTACTTCTAAAAGCAAAAAATATATAAATACCCTTTTTCCAGATTCTCTTTTGGTAAATGTTACTATCTAGACGTGATACAGTCCCCTTGGATTTTAGAGTAGAGTACATATGAGGAAACCATGGGCAGATTAGATTTGATTTCTGGAAATGCTTGTTCATACATTTTCCAAATATAAGGAGTTCCAATGTTTAAGTGTTATATACTCTACTACCAACCCATTTTGAATTATAGTAAACGCATGTGGGTTGGAGAATAGCATAATGATTATAACCCAAACATGCAAATCTTCTGGCAATGCTTGGGAATTGGGAGTAGCATTTGTTTTATTTTTATTGTTGCAATTTAAATAATTTTGAATGTTAAATAAGTAGTGGTTTCCATGTGATCAATTACGTACTACCACTACTGTCAAGATTTCTTTTGAGGGGTCAAAATGTCAGAAGGAATAAAAAATATGTTGCTGGCAACCCTTGGTACAAGAAAATTTTGGAAATTTATTTCTAAAATAATGTATCAATATTGAATGTAAAGATTTTAAAATTATTTTTCACTAGGTTCCGAACTTCTGGAAATCTTGTAATCACCCGTGAGATTGATGTGGCAAAAAATCAGTCTTTTTGGTTCATCAACAAAAAATCTACAACTCAGAAAATAGTAGAAGAGCAAGTTGCAGCCTTAAATATTCAAGTGGGCAATCTTTGCCAGTTTCTACCTCAGGTATGAGAGAGTTAAATGTAAAGATGGGAAATTTTGTATATAATGTTTTCTTTTTATACTTTGTAAGAATGTAATTGTTAGTGTTTAAACTGAGGATAGCACTCTTAATACTTAATATTCTCTTAATAAGTATAATCTTATTTACAGTAATTTGAAAGTTTTCAGTCAATAAAAAGGCTTAAGTTATAAACTGAAGAAAAGTATTGTTAAGTAGAGTAAGATAGCTATGTGTTTCCATTTCTAGGTTCTTAAAATTTTGTTAATGAACAACTCTTAGAGTATTTGTACAAAATATTAGATATTTGAAAACTCTTAATTCTATAGGCATGTTTCCTAAAACTTTATTATATTTTAAGTCTGTTAGCAATAAAATAAAACATCCTGATAATGCATGTTAAAGGCTAGTGTTAAATACTTTTTAAATTTATTTTGAATGCTGTCTAGTGACTGGGTTAAGTTCAGTTTTTTCTTCAGAAACGATGGTGATTTGGCAGCATAACTCCAGATTTTTAAAAATTTACAATTTAAAAGCTTCTTGCATTTATCAGCTGATGTTATACCATCTTCAGAAGTAGATATTTAAAACTGTCTCTTTTTCTTTTTCTTTAAATTTCTAACATTCCAACTGCTATGTGGTGATGATCATACAAACTAAGGGACTATTTTTTCCTTTTATTACCAAACAATTTGTGTATGTAAACATTTCAACCTGGAAATACTAGCATAGAAAGTATTTTAAAGGTTCTCAAGAAGCTAACAGTTTTATACCTTAATTTATATTTTAAAGAATAATCTATAAAAGGATATGGTTTATATTAAGATTTATATCTCAAAATGAAGTTTTTTTCCTTTTAAATTAGTTTCCTCTTGAAATGCAAATGGCCAACAGGCATATGAAAAAATGTTCAACATCACTTGTAATCAGGGAAATGCAAATCAAAACTACCATGAGATACCACCTTACACCAGTGAGAATGGCACATATTAAAAAAACTAGCAACAACAAATGTTGGCGAGGTTGTGGAAAAAAGGAACTCTCCTGCACTGTTGGTGGGAGTGCAAACTGGTCCAACCACTATGGAGAGCTGTGTGGAGATTTCTGGACCCACTAAATATAGAGCTTCCATATGATCCAGCAATTCCACTCCTAGGTATTTACCCAAAGGACACAGAAACATCAATTCCAAAGAGCACCTGCACCCCTATGTTTATAGCATCACTATTTACAATAGCTAAGCTTTGGAAACAACCCAAATGCCCAAAAATAGATGACTGGATCAAGAAGATGTGGTACATATACACCATGGAATATTACTCAGCCTTCAAAAAAGATAAACACTTGCAATTTGCAGCAACATGGATGGAGCTGGAAGGGATCATGCTCAGCAAAATAAGCCAGAAAGAAAAAGAAAAATACTGGATGGTCTCACTCATAGCAGGAATCTAGAAAACTTAAATAAGGGACCAGGAAAAAGAACAACTATAAGAAAGAAAATATCAAAATCAACAAACAACTATGAACCAGAGACAGTCTATGGGGGTTAAGGGGCGGAGAGGGGAGGCATTGGGATCAAAATAAGGGGGTTGTAATTGTAAGGGCAATATAAAAATAAAATTTAAATAACAAAAAAATACAAATAAATAAATTAGTTTCCTCTTGACAAATTAATAGTTGAGTGACATTTGTATTGAAGATACCAAGTGATAATAGTTGCTGATATTTAAGTTTTATGCTTTAGGATAAAGTTGGAGAATTTGCTAAACTCAGTAAAATTGAACTCCTTGAGGCTACTGAGAAGTCGATTGGTCCTCCAGAAATGCACATGTATCACTGTGAACTCAAAAACTTCAGGGAGAAAGAAAAACAACTAGAGGTAATTAAAAAGCCCATTTTTATTGTCCCATTGCTTTCTATGTGTCATATTGTGAGAGAATGAAGAGTTGTTGTGGTTCATTGAGTGGATTACTATATTTGTGATTTTTTTTCTAAGTAGGATTACTAATAATTAAAATAAGTGACAAAGGCCTTTTATGTCTACCATTTTCAGTTTTCAGAGTTTGTTAACTGTAATCTTGTTGCTTATATGTACCTGTACTTACATCCGATCCTTGGTGCCCAGCCTCCTGGACAGAAATAAAACTGAATTGTTGGATCTGTTTTGGAAGTTCTCCTGAACTGGTGAGCAGGAGTCCTGGTAGCTGTATCTATATAGGGCTTTTAACATCCTCTGCATACAGTAGCTTGGCAAAGTGCTATCAGATTTCAATATGAAAAAAGGACTTAGCTACTGAAAATAATGCCAAGAATGGTTAATTGCTTTATCTTTGAACATTGAATAAGATAAATTTCCACCTGCTGTTCTCTATGATCAGTGTGCTGTAAAAAATAATTAGGATGCAATCACTCAATACTCATAGTTTAATATGTCTATAACAGTTACCCTCAGTAATGTCACACACAACGTTACATTCTACAAATGTCATTGTGCAGTTTTAGATATCAGTTTTTAGTAGAGCACATATGGAAAATAAAATTGGTAAGTTTCTTTCACTGTGATATAGAAATGTTAAATCTTTATAGAAAGAGACCTTTTTTTGTTTTTTGCTTTTTTTAAGATTGATTTATTTATACAAGAACCGGAGTACAGGTCAGATGTACGGGAGGTGGAGAAGATCCACCAAAGACAGAGTGGGGAACATAACAGGCAGACCGACTGAAATAAACTGCTGAGGGGAGTATCGGGTGAAGCAGGAGAGGTCTGCTTGCCATGTGGGTATCTCCATGGCCGTCTGGGATCGAACCAGCACTGCAGAGGCTGCGGACAGCTTCACAGCGCTGCGCTCAACCGCCTGCGCCGCCAGGGAAGCCCGAGACCTTTTTTTGAACTAGCTTTTTTTATTGAGAGTAAAGGTTCAATTTGTGGTGTTAAGGATTGCATTCATATTTAATGTAATGCTTGCTTTCTCCCTGGCCATGCCATTTTGAGCATTAATCAGAGTGCCTCTACTCTAAGCAAACTGGTTTACTACAGGTGTCTATACTATTTAAAATTAGCTTATACAGTTAGTGAGGAGGAAGATAAATGAGATGTAGCTTAAGGGTATTATTGGGGAAATGCCCATATTTAACACAGAACGCAAAAGAATTTAAAATAACCGATGGGCAAAAAACCTATGAAACCTCTCTGGTCAAGTATGTTTTAATCATTAACAAAAAAACAAGTAACAAAAAGTGAGATAATCTAAATTTTGACACAACTTTTTATCCAATACATGTTATTAGTTGAATTTATAAGGAGTCAATATTAGTATTATATTTTTTGAGGAAGTTACAGTGTTATTTTATTTCATTCAGTATTTATTAAATATCTACCATGCGCCAGTCACTGTAAGGCTTTGGGTAATATTGCAGATACCATGTACCTTTTAATATTGCACTTCTGGTAAATTGGTTCTCATGTTTCTTCAATATTGTGAACTTTGGAGGAGCACAATATATTTAGTTCCAGTGTTGAATTTTAGTTTTTGCTCAATAAGTACGTAGTATATACATTTGTATAAGTGTGAAGTTGTGCCCCTGAAACAAAGTGTCCTTTTATAATATGCCAGTTGAAAAGGTTTTATTTAATGAATCATTTTCCAGTTCCCAGCAACTAAAATAAATACAGAAAAAAAATTTAATGTGTAATCTTGTAAATAAATGCGTCTCTTAAAATGTAACTGTATACTTGATAATTTGTATTTTATTTTAATGTACTATTATTTTTATCATTATACTCATTCAGAGTGAAGGGCAGGACCAGCATTTTATAATTATTTTACCCTGCTTCATATACTCCATCAATTAGTTTACCCTTCCCCCATCATTCTAATCCTTCCCTCTGAAACATCTCCCAGCCTCTGAAAGAAAACAAGCATATGTTCTACTCAGTTCTGAGTACTGTTAATTTGCAGTATAAAGGCCAAATTTTATCTCATTTTAAAGTCCTTAAATCATGGATGTTAATAATAGAGTAATAGTAACACTACTTTTCATTTGTTAGGACTATGACTTTTGTTGAGTTTTTACCTATCCTAAGTGAATTGCCTCTATCCTTAAGGTGAATGAGGAAGGTTTCTTTCTTATTAGGCAAGAGGAATCAGGCTCAGAGATGTATCAAGTCTTCATTGTAGTCACATTACTAACAGATTGTAGAACCTAGACTAGAAGTCAGGTGTGAGTAGTTCTTAAGAATGTAGAATTCTTTATTGTGAAATTTTGCTAGTGTTGCACATTTTTTATTAAGAGATTTGACATGTCTTTTTTCTGTTAAACTCATTGTTAAATAATTATTTTATAGACCTCATGCAAAGAGAAAACTGAATATCTAGAGAAAATGATTCAGAGGAATGAAAGATATAAACAAGATGTGGAGAGGTTCTATGAACGTAAGCGGCATTTAGATTTGATTGAGATGCTTGAAGCAAAAAGGCCATGGGTGGTAAGTCTTAATTATTAGAGGCAAAAATAGTAATTCTTTAACAGAAAAGTTATAAAGAAAGCCTTAATTAATCTGTATTGAAATTAGGTGCTTTTTTTTTCTCACTTTTGCTTTACATATCATACATAATAAAACTTACTTCCCTTGTGTTAATATGTACGCATGTGCTGAATTAATACCATGTAGCAAACAATTGATTCTGTGCTGTTAATTCTTCCAGATTTGAGTCCTCAATAGATAGTTTTGTTTTGTAAAATGTTAATGATTAAACATATGTTTCCATGTAAAAATTAAATCTTTGCTTTTCCTTGGGTCACTGAGAATTCAATTGGAGTGCATACCATAATATCACTATCAACTACAAATATAAATCAAGGATACTAATTGTAATTTTCTACTCAAATGCTTCATCATAATAAGTTTGCTGAGGCTACTGTATTCAGTAGTGTACTGTACCCAGCATTGTAAGGCATTACTTTATAATGTGTAGAACAAAATAAAATTTTGTAGTATTTGTTGTAATATTAGAATGAAAATAATTGTTATTAGATTGGAAAAAAATGTGACTGTCTTTGTGGCCTTCTTATCCACCCAACCTCACTCTACCCTATCCCAATATTTTCATTATTCTTAAACATTTTTTCTTTCTTCAGCTCATTTTGATTACATTTTCTAGGACCCATTACTCTGGAACCTACTTTTGAAAAGTCTTCTGATTTCTTTTCTAAAATTTTTGATCTGTCTCTCTTTCTTTTTGCATAGAAAACTGGGGTGTAGGCCAGAGGTGTGGGGGTTGAGAGGATTCACCGGAGACAAAGTAGGGAGCAGAACAGACAGATTTACTAAAATGCACTGCTGAGGGGAACAGCAGGCCAGACAGGAGAGGTCTGCTGTGCCATGTGAGTTAGCTCCCTGGCCACGGATGGAAATCAGGCCTTAGGGGTATAGGGCTGAGACAACCTCTACATCACCAGGGAGGCCCCCAATCTTTTTTATTTTCTTTTTTTTCCTTTTTTTTTTTTCTTTTTTTGGTATTCTTTCTTTTCTCATCCTGTTCACACTTACTATATAGAGCTCCGCCTATTTTTTAGCAACTAATTTATTCCTGTGACATGACAAGCATATTTACTTGCATGCTTTACTTTGTTTCCCTTTTATCCATTATTCTTGTGTCTACTCATCTTTCCATAACTGATTTTCCTTTGCTTTTTAATATACTTATATCCCTTCTTTATTGAGACACTAGAGAAAAACTTAATTTTAGTAGCTATTCATAAATTTTAGGAATAGGAAAGGGGTTGAATTTGGAGAATCCAGTGTAGTGATAGAGCTCAGTGAGTATCAGTACTCTCAGTAAATAAATGTTTGTATTTACTGTTTCTGAACTAGTGTTTCATAGGCAAAATTTATATTTTGCCAAAGGAATATCAAAACAGCCTTTTAAAAATTTGATTCCCCCCGAGCCTCGATTTTCATTGTGTGTGTGTGTGTGTGTGTGTGTGTGTGTATATATATATATATATATAATATATATATATATATGTTAGTTTTACCTAGCACTGTATGAACTTCAATTTTTCTTAATTGCAAGGAGTATGAAAATGTTCGTCAGGAATATGAAGAAGTAAAACTAGCTCGTGACCAAGTGAAGGAAGAGGTCAGAAAACTTAAAGAAGGGCAGATTCCTATGACACGTCGAATTGAAGAAATTGAAAGGCAGCGTCACAATTTGGAAGCTCGAATCAAAGAGAAGGTACATTTCTGGCTCAATTTTGGATTTCCTGTATTTTTTTTTTTTTTAAGAAAATGCAAAAATATGTAGCGGGTTTTAAAATATGCTTTGTAGATTTGCTTGTAGTTTTGGTTCCTTAAGTTCTTTAGGAATTCTACCATCATTGGGCTTGTTCAGGTTCTAAAGGTCACTGTTAGAAGGTTGCTACTTTATAGAAATTCCAGGATATAAAAAGAAATAAAAAGTGTGCTTGTTTTAATTTCAGGAGGATTCATAGTGGTATTCTCAAAACACTGAAATCCTTTGTGAATTTACTGTATCTGCTTTGTAATTATATACCCTTTTGGGAGGGATGATACATAAACCTGATTTTTTTAGAATAAATAGTGTAGTGGCATATAGAATATTCCCAATATTTTTTTTTTAAGATTTATTTTTTTTATTTATACAATAGCTGGGGTACAGGCCAGAGGTGTGAGAGGGTGAGAGGACTCACCAGAGACAGAGTGGGGAGCAGAACAGGCAGATGGACCGAAAGCACTGCTGAGGAGAGCATCGGGCGAGATAGGAGAGGTCTGCTGGGCCATGTGGGAATCTCCCTGGTCAGCTGGGAATCAAACCCATGCTGCAGAGGCTGTGAACCGCTTCATAGCACTGCACTCAACGCGCTGCGCCACCAGGGAGGCCCATTCCCAGTATTTTAAAAATGTAACTTCATGCCTCTTAACCTCTATGGAGATTTTGGGGTCAGCGAATATTTTGGGACTAGTTTAAACAGGACCCTACTATCTATAGAATTGTTTTTTTAGGATCAGATGAAATAGCATAAGAAAATAAATGCAAAGAGATAAATATATGTATGTATACATATTGTTATATCTATTTTGATATCAATTAGAATAGCCTTTTTGTAGATTTGCAGTCACTGTTGGTATTTTGAGAGGTAATTAGGAATTTGGTTTGAAAGAAATCATGGAAAATAATTGTGGGTAAGTATACTTGCATAACTACTTAGTATTTGGGTGGGCATGGCCACATAATTGACTAGCTTAGATTTTTAATTGTCCCTTGAATTTTTAACTTGTTCCCTTTTGGTTTGATCTTACAGGCAACAGATATTAAGGAGACATCTCAAAAATGCAAACAAAAGCAAGATGTTATAGAAAGAAAAGACAAACATGTAAGATTTCATATTGATATTTTCTATTATACTAATTTGCCCTAACTTTTGCAATTAGGTTGGGTATGATCCATATTCTTGTTTGGGAATTGTCTGAGTTCCTGTTAGTTCTCTATTTCTGAATATATGAGGGAGACAGATTTGGAAAGATAGAAGTTGCACAGAGGATAATCAAGAAAAATTGCTTAAAACTACTGATAAAGCATTATGATTCCCTGGCCAGGGATCGAATTCCTACTGTTGTGGCTGGCAATAGCTTGACAGCCTTAAGACTTTAAACCCTGTGCCCCCAGGGAGGTCCCAGCATTATGAAATTTGTAGCTGAGTGGCTATAGTTTTTTAAAGGGAAATGGTAGAATTGGATTTAGTTACAATAATCAAATTTTAAGGGCTTTATTCTGTAGTTTTTATATTAAAAGTAGGGCATTTAAAAGCTGACTACAGATCCTTTTGGTATAAGGTAAGGATTGATGGCAAAATTATTTTAGGATAATTAGTCAAGAAAGTGGCCTCTTTAACTTACAGAGACCCACATGTATCTGGGGTTCTATTTTCCAGGATTTTCAGAATCTTAATTTGAATTACCTGTCTTTGGGGTAGATGGTAGTTGAAGCATTACATTTATCTCCCAGTTACCAACCTTTTCCCTTTTTTTTTTTAAGATTTATTAATTTATGCATACAAGAACTGGGGTACACGCCAGAGGTGCAGAGAGTGAACTTTTTTGGTTTTCATTTGATTACAGATTACATGTACTTTTTTTGTTAATGTACTTCTGATGTTTCAGTTTAAGACTATTATTTTCATTTTGAGGTATTGTTAACTTGTTTTAATTTCTACAGCTGTGGAATTTTTAAACTTTCTAAATATGGAGTTCTAATTATATTACTTTATGGAATACAAATGGCTTTTATGACTATTTTAGAACTTGAGATAGTTTTTGGATTAATATTTGGTTTTATAAAAGATTTACAAACTTTCAAAAAGAGTATGTATTCAATCTTTAGGTGTGGAGATACATAAATAACAGAATAAACCTGCTATATTTACTTATTTTTTAAACATATATAATTACTAGTATCTTACATATAAATATTTGTATTTATACTACTATTATATCACAAATATTTTACTTTTTTTTTTCAAACTCTCTAATTTATCCATTTTTAGAGTGTTAGCACCTTCTGCTATGAGTTAGATTTGTCTATTTTGTCTTGTATTTATATTGGGTTTTGCATCCTAAATGTTGAATGCTTATTGTTTTGTTCTTTCTGCACAATGTTTTATCTGTTATAAATAATATATACTGGGTTTTGTTTTGAAAATTATTTCATTTTGATGTGACAGTTTTCACATTGGTAGAGTTTAATCAGTTCACATTTACCATTACCTTAAGGAGGTAGGAATTTTTATGGATTTTTTTTCTTGCCAAATATCTTCTGTAGACTTGGGGGAAAAATTTATTAAATTATTATACAATTTTTAAAATTTTTTTTAATTTAACATTTATTTTATTAAGTTATTTGAATCTATTTTATTAAGTTATTTATGAAATTATTAAAAATTAATTTTAAATTTATTAAATTACTTTGGGGTGATTTACAACACTGTATGTGTTTTAGGAGTATATGTGTTTCATCCCATATGTTAACCACACTCTACCCATTACACAGCACTCATAATACTCCACTGTAGTCCATTGGTCCCCTTCCCTTTGTTCCTTACCTCCACCCTCTCTTTCTGGCAGCTTCCCTTCTGCAATCACATTTCAAGGGTTTGCTTTATTTTGGTTTGGTTTGTACCTTTGCTTTGTTTCTTTATATTCCACATCTGAATGAAATCATTCAGTATTTGTCTTTCTTTTTCTGACTTATTTTATTAGCATAATCCCATCCATTTCCATCATTGTGTCATAATTGGCAAGATTTCATCTTTTTTTTTTTTTAAGGGCCACGTAATATCCCTTTGTGTATATATACCACATCTTATTTATCCTCTTATCCATTGTGAGGCACTTAGGTTGTTTTTATAGCTTGGCTATTGTAAATGATGTTGCACTGAAGTGAGTATAACCCTTTAAATTCATGTTTAAGAAATTTTTTTTTTTTCAGAATTTTTTTTATTTATATAAGAAACTTCTATACTGTTTTCCTTAGAAGCTCAATTTTTCTGCATTCCCAGCAACAGTGTATGAGGGTTTCTTTGTAGGTTTTTTTTTTTTTTTAATGCCCATTGAACATTGTTAATTTTCAATCGTAGATATGTATCTTAATTTTTTAAAATATGTTTTCTCACTGTGCATGGCCAAAGGAGAGGAAATTTTGACATGGGTTCATTTCATTATCTTGACTTGTATTAAAGGTAAAGTTTTAGAAAGGAAAAATTGATAAAAACTCAAACTTCCAACAATAGGGAATAGGATAAAATGTAGTATACCCATTTAACAGGATATTCTAGGGGTTTTAAAAATGTATTTTATAAGGACATAGAGATAGTAAGAAATTACTCTCAATGCATATTTAATAATACAATCTAATAAAACATAACTTTTATGATAGGTAAGTAAGCAATAAAATGTAAATGTTTAAGGACTAATAAGACTGGCTATTTTTCGTTAAAAGTTTCTATGGTTTCTGTATTTTCTATAATGAGTTTTTTAATGATAGGGGAAGGGAGTAAATGTCAGTTGTAAGAACGCTAATAAGCAAATTATGTTAACCTTTGTTAACTTTACTAATACAAAATTCTTTTTTTATGAAAAATAAATTGGCTATATAAGTGTGTATTTGTTTATGTGTAAGTGTGCATTAAAGAAATTCTTAGTTCTGTTTTAAGTAGTCTACATATAGATGTATGGTTTTGATAAAAATTCCACCGGTGGGGCCTCCCTGGTCGCTCAAGGGTTAAGATGCAGTCTATGAAGCAATCCGCAGCCACTGCAGCAGGAGTCGATACCAAGATATTGTATGCATAAATAAATAAATCTTTAAATAAATTTTTTTTTTAATTCCACTGGCAACTTAAGTGATCTTGGTTGTTTTTCAATAATTTATCGTGAGTATAAGTCAACAAATCTAAACATAGATTGAAGATTATATTAATTTGAGGTTTTAGTAGCAAATAGTTTATTAAAATAGTTTTGGTTTTCAATTAATAGAGTTATAATCTTCATTTCTACTATTTACTGATAGTATCATTTATGATGTGACTTTTAATTTGGTCTTATAGGTACAGTATGTTTCCTAAATGTATTTAGAAATCTGTGGTTTGGCTTTATAAATATTTTGTTTATTCAGCAAATATTTAATGGGTGCTAGCTATATGCTAAAACACTACCTTAGGTACTTGGGATGTTATTACAGAACAAATAAGGCTATAGACAGTCTGGTAGGAGTATTGATCTATAGATCTAATTCTGTCGGGATACTTTTTTTTTTTAATTTATTTTTATTTATTTATGCTTACAAGAACTGGAGTGTAGGCCAGAGGTGCAAGGGGTGAGAGGATTCACCAGAGACAGAGCGGGGAGTAGGACAGGCAAATCTACTGAAATACACTGCTGAGAGGAGCAGCAGGTAAGACAGGAGAGGTCTGCTGCACCATGTGGGTCAGCTCCCTGGCCATTGATCTAACTCCTGTCAAACTCACATCACGGTGGCTGGTGATAGCTTGATAGCACAGAGACTTTAACCCCTGCGCCACCAGGGAGGCCCCTGACAAGATATCTTTTAGTGGGGAAAACATTCTGATTTTTAGATTGTTTGCATTTTAATGATAAATTACTAAAAAAAAGCTTTATAAAGCAAGAGGAAAAAAACAGTTTTAAGTACTAACCTACTTTTGTTTAATTAGATTGAGGAACTTCAGCAGGCATTAACAGTAAAACAAAATGAAGAACATGACCGACAGAAGAGAATAAGTAATACCCGCAAAATGATAGAAGATTTGCAGAATGAACTGAAGACCACAGAAAACTGTGAAAATCTTCAACCCCAGATTGATGCCATTACAAATGATCTGAGACGAGTTCAAGATGAAAAGGCATTATGCGAAGGCGAGATTATTGACAAGCGAAGAGAGAGGGAAACTCTAGAGAAGGAGAAAAAGAGTAAGTTTTACTAATGAAACTTTGAGTGAAAAGATTTTTTATAAAGTGGAAGCATATCTGTCCTTGTGGAAGCTGACTTCAATTGCCTTGGTTACCTTTATAAAACCTTATCATGTGTCGTGGTTTGCTATTGGCTGACTTCTTATGTCAGATTATAGCAGTTGATTTTATTCTCTAAAAATGCTTTACAAAGTCACTGTTGTTTCTCAAATCAAATTTAAACTTCTAGCCTTTATAACCTTCTTCTAGCTTTGCTTCTTGAAACTTTTCCATTTTCATCTTTTTGCTAGTATATCCCCTGTGAATATAGGTCTCTGACATTATTCAGACAGAAGAATATAGTCTGTTAGCTTACTATACTTTTATAGTCTGTTAGCTTACTATACATGACAAAGAGTAGTTTTTAAAAAAGAGCCCATTTTCATTTTTTCAAAATACTTGATGTATTTTGTGAAAGAAAAAAAAAAAAAACCTACCACAGAACAGTGGCCAACCCCTTTCAATATCCAAACCCATGCTGAAGAGTAACCATATTAAATTATTCTAGCAGTTTTTTCACTAATCTTTTTTTTTTTTTTTTTTTTTTTTTTAAGATTTATGCATACATGAGCTGGGGTGCAGGCCAGAGGTGTGGGGGAAGAGAGGATTCATCAGAGACAGAGTGGGGAGCAGAACTGGTAGATTGACTGAAGTACACTGCTGAGGGGAGCAGTGGGTAAAACAGGAGGGGTCTGCTGTGCCGTGTGGGTCACCTCACTGGCCGGGGATTGAATTCGTGCTGCAGTGGCTGCAGGTTGCTTCATAGTGCTGACGCTAAACTCGGGAAGCCCCCTTTTCAACTAATCTTATATATCTTTGTCATATTCTTACTTCATTGTGACTTGATTAGTTTTAGGCATTATCTTGTGATATTTTGTTAGTTTAGACCTAGATTACAGCTCGTATATCTCCCCTCCCTATTGTAGTTCCTTAAATGCATTATTTTAATCATTAACATTTATTAATATTTATCAAAATTATTATACTAATTTTGCAATCATTTAATAATTTTCAGTATTGCTTGAATGCACATTTTGTAAGCTAAAAATGCTAGTATTCCCATCCTTCCTTTTTACTTTCCTCCCTTGCCACTTTCTAGATATTCTAATCTATACTTTGTGTTTTGTTTTTATGGTTTTTTTAAGGCTGAAAACATTGAGAAGCATAATTAAGTTTTATGTACTCTGTTTACAGGTTAATTCTAAACTAAAAGTACAGGTTAATTCTAAACTAAAAATGTTTGTTATTACAGCAGTGATAGTTGTTCACAGATGAGTCAAGCAGTGCCTTTTGATCTACTTTCCTATCATTGATAGTTTTTTTAAAGGTTTTAGTTTGATTTAAAAAAAAAAATACAGGGCTTTCCTGGTGGCACATGGGATTAAGCACAACACTGTGAAGCTATCCTCAGCCTCTGCAGCATGAGTTTGATCCCCGGCCAGCCAGGGAGCTATACCCACATGGCGCAGCAGACCTCGCCTGACTCGCCCGCTGCTCCCCTTAGCACTGTATTTCAGTCAATCTTCCTGTTCTGTTCCCCACTCTGTCTCCACTGATTTACCTCACCACCACTACCCTCGCACCTCTGGCCTGTACCCCAGTTCTTGTATGCATAAATAAATAAATCTTTTTTAAAAAATACATCATATGCTTCAGCATTTTCTTAAATTGAAAGAAAACCTGCCAGACCTTCTCTTGAGTTCTGAAACTTTCCATCTTCCTTCTTCCATCTAAACTGGTTAATCTCAAAGTTTCCTGCATAACTGTCGTCTGGGAGTTGTCTCACACTTTTTCTGTATTTTCCCTAATTTCATGTGCTCCTTTTTCTTGCATTACTCTTTTATTTTGTTAGATTATATCTATAGATAACCTCCTGTGTAGAGACATTCGAGAATTAATTTCATTTTCTTTGCACCCTTGAAAAATCCCTTATTTCATTACCCCTTTTCTTGATTTTGTTGTACATACACTTTTTGGCTAAAAATATTGTTTCCCAGAATCTTGAAAGCCTCTTGTAATTGTCTTCTGATAGGAAATCTAGTATTTTCTTAGACTTTTGTATGTAATCTACTTATTTTCAGTAGCTTAAAGGTCATCTTTTATATCGGATGTTTGGATATTTGAGAAAATTTTCCTGGGGTGGATCTTTTTTACTATGCTGGATATATGCTGGGTGGTGTTTATAATTTTCAGATGTAAGATATTCTTTCATAATACTAATAAATTATTTCACAAATTAAAGTTTTGGGAAAACAATGCTTTGTTGTTATTTTCCAATTTTAGGTGTGGGTGATCATATTGTACGTTTTGACAATCTTATGAATCAAAAGGAAGATAAGTTGAGACAGAGATACCGTGACACATATGATGCTGTTTTGTGGCTAAGAAATAACAGAGACAAATTTAAGCAAAGAGTCTGTGAGCCCATAATGCTCACGGTAAGAATTTTGTTCATCTTGATGTAGTGTCTGCTAGGTTTATTATTGTATCAATTGTAGTTTTTTGTTTTAAAAATTCATTTTCCTTTTTAAACATTGGTTTTCTGGCATCTGGTATACTGATGAATTCATACATGAACATAAACCTGTGCACTTCTAGAAAGAAGTATGAACTGGCAGGTTATTGATCAAGATCCATTTGTAAAATTAGCTCGGCAGTCTGGTTCCTTAGTTTCATAGTAGGCAGTAGATTAAATACTGTTCAAGCAGAAAACTACCATGAATAATATGTTGATATAGGGCACCTAATAAAGATAGACAAGAAAATCATCTGCTGCAATAGAGCATTCTGAGATTCTGGGATTGAAACCAGCATTTAACTGATGTCATAAACGTTTGATAGCTCTTCATTGTGATTATGGATCATGAAGAATAGGTTAAGCTGTATTAGGTAAATTATCTAATAAAGTGTTTGTAGCCATGGAACATTTCCATCTAAAATATTTAAATTTATAAGTTTGGCCATAGAAAGGTATTATAAAGTGAAAAACCATATTCTTTGGTAATCATATAGTAAATATACATACATAATAATAAACTTGCAACTTACCTAAAAATGACTTAAAAATTGGGCCTCCCCGGTGGCACAGCGGTTGAGCGCCGGCTTGCAGGGCTGCCCGCAGCTTCTGCAGCGCAGGTTTGATCCCCGGCTGCTCCCCGGCCACCGGAGGAGGGTCCCACATGGCACACAGACCTCTCCTGCCGCCCGCTGCTCCCCCCAGCAGTGTACTTCGGTCCTTCTGCCTGCTCTGCTCCCCTCTCTGGCTCTGGTGAGTTCTCTCACCCTCCCGTGCTTCTGACTGTACCCAGTGCTTGTATAAATAAATAAATCTTTAAAAAACAAACAAACAAAAAAACTACATTAAAAAAATAAATAAATAAATCCCTGAATTTAAAAAAAAAAAAAATGACTTAAAAATTATTTTTTCTGGATGATTTTTACTTTAGAAAAGTATTCCCTATAAATCTTGCAGCATTCTTGAAAGGTTCTATTTTCTGTTACTTGTGTTTATATTATACTTTACTAAAAACATTTTATGTAGTTTTGTCTTTTATATCTTACATTATATTAGCAAAATGAGTATGCATAATATTCAAGTCTCTTCTTGCTCAGGTATGTATTAGGTTATTTTTGCCAGCTCAAGAAGGGTATATCTATTTTGAATGTAGACATTATTGTTTGATTAATCTGGTAACAATTAAAAGAAAAGACAGTAAAAAATATTGTGACCCTTAGTATAAGAAGTTATAATGCAAGTATAATCATCAACAGGTTTTATTAAAATGCCAGCCTCAAAATAATATGTTAAAATGTTATTAGGTTTGTCATTCTTTTGTCACTTGATTTCCTAATATTAGCCTATCACCAAGTTAAATTACTAGCTGGCATATATTTACATTTTTAAATTACAGTTGAATATTTGAGTTAAAGAGATACACTCTACTTTCTTATGTTTCCTGAAATAACCCTTCACCTTTCCTATCACCTACTTCCACTCTGTCCCGTCATACAGTTACCTAATCCTTCAAGATATAGTTGAAGTTCTACTACCTCACAGGCAGGTTAGCTATTTGTAATCTTAAAATTTTCGTCATCTATAACTTATTAGCAGTCTTTTTTCAGAAATTATTTTTAACAACTCCAATCTAGAATTGGAGAGGTATTGTACTTTTCACAGTAGTGTTTATAATAGCAATATGATGGAGCAAAAGAACAAAGTAGATATTGACTGCTTGTATAAATTCTTCTATGTCCTTATAATAGAATATCTTGCAGCTATTAAAAACGTTGCTGTAACTTATATTAACATTATAGGACATTTATGACATATTAATGAATTATAAAACAGGTTACAGAATAAGTTTTCTTTTGGAAAAGTTTTTTAAAAAATTACGAAATAGGAGACTGCCATCGACCATCAGATCATCTTTGAATGCTATGCCTCCTATGTCTACTAGTCTGTCTTACTACTTTGACTGTGAATTATGTGGCTTTGAAGAACTTTGCCAAATACTTTCATCACTAATCTCATGAGAAGTTTGCTAAGAAACTGATGAAACCAACAAGTGGATCAAATCTTTCTTTAAGATATCAAGAAATGAGACCATGATTGCAGCAAAGTATGCATTATTACCCTTAGAAAAAACTCACTGTTGAAGGTACACAAACTGGTCAGGAAAATGACCCCTACATGTGTGCTTTACTTGAGACTTACTGCCTAAATGATCAGGTGCAAGTCATCAAAGAATTGAGTAACCATGTAACCAACTTATGCAAGATGGGAACCCCATAGTCTCACTGCAGAATGTCTCTGATATGTACTCTCTGGAGGAGAGTGATATTGAGAGTCAGTTCCTAAACTCGCTTATACATAACTATTCTTTTTTTAATAAGGTGATTTCTTCACCCTTTCTGTAAGTTGTAACACACTTCCATTTACATTTCATATACTTACTTCCAATAAAGTAATTTGGTGCCAAAAAAAGAATTGTGAAACAATAGACACCAAATGTTTATAGCCTCTCTATCCAGGTAATGGTATTTTGTGTGTGTGTTTTTGTCGTTCATTTGTGTATCTGTTTTCCTATTTTTCTACACTGATTGGTACTCTAATTTAAAATAGAAAGTAGTACTAACATTTGTATGACAAGAACTGTTAACTTTTTTACTGTGTTCATTTAAATCCACATTTAGTCCTATGTTTTCCTATACCCATTTTACAGTTGAAGAAACTAAAGCTTTCAGAGATTTCAGTACTTGCTTAATGTCACACATAGGCTTTGAAGTGATCTCTGACTCCTTGCTAGTATGCTGCATTGTTTATATGGAGCACATAAAACATACCTTCTTTTTCATAAAGCTTTAATTTTTTCAAGAAAACTAATTTCCATTTGCTGTTGGCAATCTAGCTTCTCCAAAATTCCATAGATAGCACATTTTATATTACTCTGTTTTGGAGCTTTATTAGTCTCTGCTTTTCAACATACTTATCTGCAGATTGTAAATAACAGATTGTATTCTCCCTGAAACAATTTATTTTCCTGACCTATCTTAGTATCTTTTATAACATTGATCCTCAGTATCTTTAAAACATTGAACCAATGCCTAATTTGTTAATTCTTTTTAATAAATCATTAAATTTATGCTATAATGGTCAACAAGCCTTGGGTTTTTTTTTTAGGGCACTAATTGTTAGCTAATCATTGCAGGTGCTTTCCCATTGGTTTCATAAAATTTTTTTGTATTCTATACTGATCAACTGTTGCCATATACAGTATAAATTTGAAGATCAAGAAAATAAATATAAAATGTTAAAATTTAGGGACAGATGTTTAAGGTCATTCGTAATCTGAGATTGTTTCATATGTTTTCAGTGAGTCGGTTGTATCAAAATTGCCATATATCAGGTGCTATTCAAGTCAGCTTTCATTTTATTATATATTAAATGTTTCTAGTAATAAATTTGACTACATAGATGTCTTAAAATGTTGACCCTTTAATACCAACTTCTTTTTTTGTCTTTTTCATTAAGTTTAATGAAATCAAATGTTATATATAATTATATTCTGGTAATTAATTTTGGTTTTATGACATTTCAACTTACTGTTCCTTTATTTTGTTTAGATTAATATGAAGGATAATAAAAATGCCAAATACATTGAAAATCATATTTCATCAAATGATTTGCGAGCCTTTGTATTTGAAAGTCAAGAAGATATGGAGGTTTTTCTCAAAGAGGCAAGTACTTAACCAGCTTAATACTTTGACTCGTTACTTCTAGTGTTTGAATTGTAAAATTTAAAAAGTGATAACTAATGTTATCAGTAATAACTTGTGTGTATAATCACTCAGATTTACCATCTTCATTCCTCTACGCCTTGAGTGGGAATGAATTTATGAGAGGAAATACAGACCTTTATTCTATCTGTAATATATTTTTGAATTATCACTTGGTATTAATGTGAAGAGTAATTCTGTCACATTGTTTTAAGAGAAAAATATGATGATAGATTTAGACATACTTTTTTTGGAAGTGTATTGCAGTGAACTCATTTTTTCTTTGGAGGAGAAATCAGTATGTTATTGTGTATTAAGATGAATAAAACCTCTTAAAAGAATGAGAATCCTGCATCTGTCTGGAAACACTGAGAATCTAAGGCAGTAAAAAATCAGTGTGGCCTAGTAGTTAAGAGCAAGACTATATACAGTCTGACAGGATTTGAATTCTGGCTTTGCTACTAATTTGGGCAAGTTAGCAAAATGTTTTGTATCTTAAGCTCCTCATTGTAAAATGAAGATCATCTACTACAAACAATTGTTCTTTTCAACTATTTAGATAGTTCTTACTAGTTATTACTATATGTATTATTATTACATATCTGTAAAATATACATCATATTACATTGTTAGCTATAAGTATGTTACTATCAATAAGATTTCTTTTTCTTTTTGCGTGCACTGCTACTTTAAAAGCCTGCTGAAGATTAGGTTTGAATAAGTCAAAGTGTAGACAGGACCTTAGTCAGCTCAGGGGGCCTCTATTTCTCTGGTACACAAGTGTTGGAAGGAATCCTTACCTGCTTTGGGTTTTACCATATTGCCCTCCATCTGGTTTGGGAGTTGGCTGGGAATGTGACTATAAGGTGACTGGACATAAAAGATTGGGCATATAAAATTATAAGATAGACTATAAGAAGTTAAATAATTTGTGTATTTTACAACTATTTAAGCCAACCAAGTTACTGACCAGGCTTCAGAGCTCACTGAAGAAGTAGGTTAGTTGGGGTGAAAGTCTGTGGGACATGGTACAGTCAGGTATAACTGTATGATTCCTGTTTTGTAAATGAACAGTTTAGCCTAAACTGCACACCTTGCTTTGACTAAAAACTCATGCCTCCTTGGGCCTCCCCGGTGGCGCAGCGGTTGAGTGCTGGGTTGCAAAGCTGCCCGCAGCCTCTGCAGCGCAGGTTTGTTCCCCGGCTGCTCTCCGGCCACCGGAGGAGGGTCCCTCATGCCACGCAGATCTCTCCTGCCGCCCGCTGCTCTCCTCAGTGTACTTCAGTCCTTCTGCCTGTTCTGCTCCCTGCTCTGGCTCTGGTGAATTCTCGCCCTCCCGCGCTTCTGACTGTACCCAGTGCTTGTATAAATAAATAAATAAATAAATCTTTAAAAAAAAAAAAAAAACCTCACACCTCCTCTGGGCTGAGAATTTGAATCATATATTAATGCTGTAATGTAAGTTCCAAAATTTCATCTTTTTTCCCCTATGCTAGAAACTAGCTTTTCATCTCATCAGTAGGACCAGAAATTTTTGTGTCTATGTTTTAAATTGTGATTTTTATTGTATATAACCATAATTGTATCTACTAGAGTACCATTCCCCATTAGTTAGTAATTTGCAGACCTTAATTTTTGCCATTTCCACATTATACCATCTACTAACATATATACTACCATTTATACTGTTATTTAATATTTTTAAAAGAATGTCACTTTCCATTATTCAAACAATATTCAAAAAGGAAATTAGAAAGCAAACGATTTTCTTGACAGTAAAAACTGTTGTTAAATCCTAGAAACAAACTGTTGCTTATTGAAAGAAGATAACATGATTTTCTCTTTCTTAAGGGGATAATAAGGAGGTAAAGGACATGCTGGCACCATACAGCAACTTTCTCTTTGGTATGATTAGAGATATTGAAAGAGTAAAACTGCATTCTCATTGTGTAAATCAGTTTTATTTAGGGTAACCACTGAAGCAGTAGTCTTTTTTTTTTTTACTTTTTTTTTTTTTTTTTTTTGTGGGACCCTCGCCGGTGGCCAGGGAACGAACTGGCGCTGCAAAGGATGCGGGCAGCCTCGCAGCCCAGCGCTCAACCGCTGCGCCACCAGGGGAGGCCCTGAAGCAGTAGTCTTTAAAAACTATTATGATTGATATATTCATTCATGGCATTATAGTTTTATTCATAAACCTCCTACTTCTTAATTCTTTTTCCATAGTTCTTAGTCTTAATTCAAACTACAGAAAAGTTCCGAGTCATAAATTTCTGGATACCTTTTACTCAGATTCACTGTTTACATTTTGCCTTATTTGCTTTATACTTTATTGCAAGCATTTTGCTATAACCCAATATATGTATTTGTAAAAACCACTATGCTATACAAAATTGTTCAGTAAAATCCTACAGAGCCTATGAGGAAAATACAGCACAGTTATACATATTAAAATAAGAAATACACAGATAAGATAAATATGGTACTTTATTTTTTGAAAGACTTGAAGCTAGCTGATAGAAGTAGGCATTAGAAGGATTCAGTTTATGAATTGTGTGAGTAAAAGATTGAAAGTTATAACACCAAATGTGGTTGGATGTGACTCATAAAATGGTGAAAGAGGTAGCTGGCACATGTTTAAGAGGTGTGTATGTATACATGCATACACACATCTGTATTTGCTCACAAATTGTATATATTCCTGGACAGTTCAATTCAGTTAGATGCAGTTTTCGGCATTCATGTTTCCCCTAGATGTAATTGCACATAAGCAAATGTGAAATTCACACAATGATTAAATTGATCTGTAATGTATCAATTGCTTGCAATAAATGTCTTCAAATTAAGCATAACAAAATTCACTAGCTTTTTGCAGTTGTATCTTGGAGATACTTTGAGAATATGAAATTATCCTGTTCATGAGACTGCCTAGATTTAAGAGCCATTATTGATTCTAGATACTCCTGTATTTATTTGCATTCTACTATACTATAAGAGCATTTTCTTCTCAATTTGTTTAGTTTATCAGATTCATAAACTTTTATTTTTATGAATTATAATACATTACTATTATTTATTTTAATGCTCACATTGTGCATGATTTGACCAAGTGAGACTTTCAAGTTCCCCACTATGTTCTGTTGATTTGTTTTGTATTTTGGTACTGCTTAACTTTTTGCCAGAACAAGATGTTGATTCATTTTGATCTTATTCTGTTTAAGCCTTTAAATCAGCTTTCCCTCAAGAAAACCCTAATTCTTTTAGAAGCCAAAATCTGGGTACATCTGCTGCCGATGTATACTCATTTCTTTTGAGTCCACTCATATAAACCTTTATATATTTCTGTATTTATTTAGACTGCAAGAGTGCTTAATCATACCATAAGTTCTCACTGATAACTTCCATATACAATTCAACACAGCAGGGTACCTTTTTCTTTTCCATATTTGCATCTTTCCCTAACTGTGAAAAACATAGTCCCCTGAACCGCCCATATCAATATATGTACTCATTTGTTCAAGCCAAAAATGCCATGATAGTAGTTTCAGGATTGCTTATCTGTGCCATGAAAGTCCTCAATTCCATCATGCTTCCATTAATTTCATCATTGTTTTTTCTTCTTTAGTGTATAAGTCTTTTATATCTTTTGTTAAATGTGTTCCTAAATATTTCATGGTTATAAATGGATTGTAAATGGATTTCTAAAATTCACTTTCCAGTTCATTGTTAATACATAGACATTCACTTGATTTATGTTGACTTTATTGTGTAACGCTAGTTCACGTCCTGAATTCTAGTAGTTGATTTGTAGATTACATAGGATTTTCTACATAGAAAATTACAAATAGATCTTTTTACTTGTTCCTTTTCTGTCTTTTACATCTTTATTGTGCACTACATTGCCTAGTACCTCCAGCACAATGTTGAAGAAAAGTGGTAAGATTAGACATCCCTGCTTGTTTCCCATATTAGGGGAAAAACACACAGTATATCACCGTTCAGTCTTATATCTAGTGAACATTTTTCCCAGATGCCCTTTATCAGATTGAGGATGTTTCCTCCTTCTTGTTTTCTGAGAATTTATCATGAGTGGGCATTGAATTTGTCTGTCTTTTCTGTAGAAATGTTCATATGACTTTTGTACTTTGCTCTGTTATTAGATTAGTTGATTTGTGAATATACACCAATCTCAAATTATTGTAGTAAATGTTTTTGTCATGTATATGGCTCATACATTGCTACATTCTGTCTCCTGCTATTTTGTTAAAGATTCTCCTATATGTGTTCATGATACTGTAGTGTTTTGGTATCAGGATTATGTTAATATCATAAAAGGACTTGGAAAGTCTCCATTCCTCCTGTTTTCTCAACTTTTGTTTTTACTACTTAACTGATAGGCTTTATTGGTGGAAATGATAAAAATAAATGGACTCATAAGGAACACATAACAATATAAAAACACTTAACTGAAGTGTTATTATCCCAGTAAAAAATTTTCTTGTGAGTACCATCAAATATCCAGTCAATGTTTAAATTTCTGACCATCTCATAAATGCCAGCAGCAATGTGTTAACTTTAAAAATCATTTTGACTTGTAGTATATGGTAATTAAAATATTTTCTTTAAATTCAGGTTCGTGATAATAAAAAATTAAGAGTAAATGCTGTTATTGCTCCCAAGCGTTCATATGCAGACAAAGCACCTTCAAGATCTCTGAATGAGCTAAAGTAAGTCTTGAAAATGTTATTAGAACTAACTTATTGTTTTGAATATTGAGTAATCATTTACGTCTTAAATATATACTAGTTATTTTAATTTTCTCTGTTACATAAATAAGCTTGTTGTAGACTGTATTAATTCCTTTAAGGAACTCTACTGAAGTTTAAAATAAACAATCTAAACCCAAGTGTTCTTGGTGTCTAGACTGTGGTATATAGTACTTGCCCCATTTTCCTCAAGGAGTATGTTTCAAGTCTACCAGTAGATGATTGAACCTAGTGCCAAATCCTTGTATATTTTTTTCCTCATCTATTTATGTATGCATACATATACACACACACCCCTATGATATCTTGTAATTTATAGATTAGGTATAGTAAGGAGTTAAAATAAAACAATTATAATAATAGACTATAGTAAAAATAATGTGAATATGGTAATATTTATCTTATTGTACCTAATAGTTTTTTTACTGTGGTTGACCACATGTAACTGAAACCTTTTTTTTTTTTTTAAGATTGATTTATTCATTTATACAAGCACTAGGTACAGTCAGAAGCATGCGAGGGTGAGAGAATTCACCAGAGCCAGAGTGGAGAACAGAACAGGCAGACCGACAAAACACACTGCTGAGGGGAGCAGTGGGCGCAGCAGGAGAGGTCTGTCACGCCATGTGGGACCCTTGCTGGCGGCCGGGGATTGAACCAGCACTGCAGAGGCTGCAGGCAGCTCCACAGCCCAGCGCTCAACTGCTGCGCCACCAAGGGAGGCCCTGTAATTGAAACGTTCTAAAGCAAACCAGAAAGGGCGGGGTGGGGGGACTATAGTATTAAGAATTATGATTTTGGGCCTCCCTGGTGGCGCAGGTGGTTGAGCGCTGCACTGTGAAGCTGTTCGCAGCCTCTGCATCTTGGTTCGATCCTGGCCGGCCAGGGAGAAACCCACATGGCAAGGCAGACCTCTCCTGTCTCACCTGCTGCTCCCCTCAGCAGTGTGTTTTGTCAGTCTGTCTGTTCTGTTCCCCACTCTGCCTCTGGCGAATCCTCTCACCCTCCCATGCATCTGGCCTGTACCCCAGTTCTTGTATAAATATATAAATCTTTTTTGAAAAACAATTTAAAAAAAATCACGATATTGTTGTAAAAAATAGGTCTTTCTTTCTTTACTTAGATATAATAGTAGTGCTTGTTGCCACCTTCATACAGACCTGGTACTCTAATGCTGAAATTACACATGGGGCAATTGCTGTCATGTGTTCATTGGCATGATAAAATGTGACTAAGAAAATGGAGTCCATGAATTGATATTACTAAACTCAAACTACCATCATTAAACAATTTATGTTTTATTTTTTTGTTGGCCACTTGTCAACTAAAAGATTTTTTTAAAAAATTATTTTAAGAAAAACTTAATAGGTGCTTTTCCTTCTAGACAGTATGGATTTTTCTCTTATTTGCGAGAGTTATTTGATGCACCCGATCCTGTTATGAGTTTTCTTTGCTGGCAATATCATATTCATGAAGTTCCTGTGGGAACTGAAAGAACCAGAGAGAGAATTGAACGGGTAAGAAAGTACTGAATTAGTAACAAAAACAGTTTTATTAAAACGTCTTTTAAAGTCAAGCAAAAATTAATTGTGTCATGTTTTTATTAACCACACAGAAACTATCTTAGTACTTTACACTTTTAATATGACACAAAACAGTAACTACTGACTAATACTTTATAACAGGAGTGATTTGGAGGTACCTAGAGTAAATAAATACTTAATATCTATAAAGGTAAGCGAATTGAGTTAAAACCTGAAAAGAGGTATCTGGCACTCTTACCTAACTCTGCCTTGCTTGACAAACATTAGTGGTATAATCACTTAAATTCTTGTTTTTTAGATTACCTTTCAGACAAATTATACTTTAGTATGGTAATCTGGGATATAAAACTGTTTTGGTAGGCTCCTCCTCCTCCTAAAGCTTCACTTCAGATTATGTCATATATGAATAACCACCTTTTATAATATTTCATTTTCCTGCTAGTATCAATACATAAACTCTTAATTTCTGTTAATGCTGTTCAGATTTTTCTTATTCTTACAAGTGATCTCTTTGATGCCAAACCATATTTGTTGCTTTCATCACAAGTAGAAACAGTAGAAATACCTTCTAAAATAAGTTTTTCAATAACATCATCTATTGCTTATTTTATTTACCAGCTATTTTTCGACTGTCAGATACTTTCAGTGATATTTTTGAACTGCATTTTTAAGTCTTAACTTAATCCTTTTGAAAATATAACATAATTATTAGATATGAACTAATACTTATTTTTTACATTGTAGATAATACAAGAAACCCAGTTAAAACAAATTTATACAGCAGAAGAAAAGTATGTGGTGAAAACTTCTTTTTATTCAAACAAAGTTATTTCCAGTAATACATCCTTAAAAGTAGCCCAGTTTCTCACAGTCACTGTGGATCTAGAACAAAGAAGACGCTTAGAAGAACAGCTAAAGGTTGAGTATTTTATTTGGGTACTAGAAAAAAATTAACTGAATTTATAATACTTTCATTAGAACTTTTAAAAATCTATTAACAATTGTGAATATTCCCTAGGAAATTAATAGAAAATTGCAAGCAGTGGAATCAGCATTGATTGACTTACGTGAGACAAACAAACATCTAGAACACAAAGACAATGAGCTTAGACAAAAGAAGAAGGAGCTTTTGGAAAGAAAAACCAAGAAAAGACAACTGGAACAAAAAATTAGTTCCAAACTAGGAAGGTATTTTTCAGCCTACAGGGGAATATTCTGTTTTTATAGATTATATCTATTAATAGTTTTCATTTCCAATGCAGTAAATGAGAATGCTTAGAATATTCATTTAAAAATGACAACAGCAAACCCATTATATGTTAATATAAATAAGATATTTATGAAAAACTGTTTTCTAAACAATGTATTTAGCAAGAAGAGTGACATTGTTTTGTATTTTTGTAAATCTCTTTAGATGAAGTAATTTTTTTCATGCCTACTTTTGCTTTTATTCATTTGTGAGATGTTGTTTTGTTTGAAGCCTACAAAGAAAATCTGGCCTCATACAGATATGTACAATTAACCCTTGAATAACACAGGTTTGAACTATGCAGGTTTACTTAACATGCAGATTTTCTTGTAAACAGACCTGTAAGTATATTTTCTCTTATGATTTTCTTAATATTTTCTTTTCTCTAATTTTACTGAAAGAATATAGTCTATAACATAACATTATATGTGTTAACTAATTGTTTGTTATCAGACTTCCAGTCAACCACTAATAGGCTATTAGCGGTTAAGATTTGAGAGAATCAAAAGTTGTACACAGATTTTCCATTGTGTGGATTGGTCAGCACCCCCAACTCAAGCACTGTTCAGTGTCAGCTGTAGTTGAAATGGGAGTATTTTCATAGATTTTTAGATAATTGTGTATGTTCTTCTTTGATACTGCATCAACATTTGCTAGGTGATAGTTGGTTAACCTTTAATTGCAGTGTTGGATCTGAAATTACTTCAATAAAGTTGTATACACTTAGGTTAAAATTGATTGCACTTTGAGTGGAACTTGTACCCTTATCCCATTGATGATTTTGTTATATTTGAAAAACACTGGTTCACCAAATTATATAGATCTTTCAAATGTTGACACATTTTATTGTATAATATGGAAACAATCTCATTGATCTCCAATCCTATCAGAAAAGCCTTTAAGGATTGGGAAGTTGCACGCCTACAGTAGTGATCACAAGTTTCCCAAAATTCCAATTTTCACTTCAAAGCTTAAATTTTACCATTGGTAACGAATACTGCCTTATTATGTTCCTTAATAGTCAGGCTCTTGCAGTTTATTCCCTTTTGGAGGGAAAAAACACCCAAATATGAATAGCCAAACCTGTTGCAAATACCCAGTATGAATAGCCATAGTTAATCTGTCATTCTTGTAAAAATGGTATTCCATGAATAAAGTATCTAGTCCAACTTCCACTCATTCACACAAATGCTTTTCCTTGGCACTACCAGACAGACATCATTCTTTGGTATATAGCAGAAGTATTTTATAAATATTACTTGCTTCCTGTTTCACCACTCTGAAAAACTAAGATTTGAGATTGAATAAGATTCATAATTTTTACTGTCATCAAAGGTATATTCTTAAGTGAATTGGGCATTTTTTTAATTTTTGAGAACATGGCAGTAAAAAATCTAATTACTGTGAATATACTTTGGTAGTACTGCCTTGATGGTTTACTCAGCATTTGCTGTTGCATCATCAGTGCAAACATAACTGCATTGAAAAAAGCAAGTGATAGCTTATTATAACCATGAAAATAGTTCACAAACCATCAGAAATAGTATCAGGGATTCTCCAGAGACATGTGACCCATACTTTGAGAACCCCTGCTGTAGATGAATATCCAGAATAAGGTACAGAGGAGGTATATAGATCGAAAGATGATCAACTTGGGCTGTTTTGTATCTCCCCAGTTCAGAAAGAGGGGTATAAGGAAGGTGGTTATGTTGATTTTCACAGAATGGGATGGGCACCTGTGGGTTCATCTCACTTGTTTGTTACAAGTGGGCTATTTCTACTGAACTTAAATAGTCACATACTCCATGAAATACTAAACAAATTCTTTTTCTTTTTTCTTTTTTTTTTTAAGATTTATTTATTTATTTATACAAGCACTGGGTACAGTCAGAAGCACAGGAGGGTGAGAGAATTCACCAGAGCCAGAGCGGGGAGCAGAGCAGGCAGAAGGACCGAAGTACACTGCTGAGGGGAACAGCGGGCGGCAGGAGAGGTCTGCGCGCCATGTGGGACCCTCCTCTGGTGGCCGGGGAGCAGCCCGGGATCGAATCGGCGCTGCAGAGGCTGCAGCAGCTTCGCAACCCAGCGCTCAACCGCTGCGCCACCAGGGAGGCCCACAAATTCTTTTCCAAAAAGAAAACTTGTAGCTTACTATGAGAATGCAGGCTACCATTCTTGGACTAATTATAAGCTTTATTTTATATTTAGATATTTTGTAGAAATTGGAATATATGAAATAGGATAAAAGCTATTAGGGTGTGGGATCTTCAGTTATTCCCTTTCCTTAAGACTGAGTTTCAGGTTTTTCATAATCCTGTTATTTCAACCCATTTCAATTCACCTCCGTACCTTCCCCAAAATGTCTTACAGGCATAAATTACTTATAAACAGTATTAATAATAGTAATAACTACTATTGATCAATCAGTTGTTGGCTAGGAACAATTCCTTTATAAAATCTTCACCACAGTCCTATAGGAGAAGTACTATTACTTCCAATTTATAGATGAAGAAACTGAAAGAACAGTAGCACTGTTCTTTAGTTAGAGGGAATTCATGTCTTACTTCTGACTCCAAATACTACACCATTAGCTCTAGAATTCCTAGGCTATGCTGGGCATATAACATATATCAACAACTCTTTTTTGATCCTGAGTAAGTGCTTAAAATGACTGTTTAATTTAGAAACTTGAAGTTCATACATCTGGGTAGCATTGTTTCAGACTCATAAAACAACAGGGGTACTAAGTATTTGGACTCAGTCCTTGTGTATAATTCTGATTTCTATATCATTACACGTTTTATAGTTTAAAGCTGATGGAACAGGATACTTGCAACCTTGAAGAGGAAGAGCGAAAAGCAAGTACCAAAATCAAAGAAATAAACGTTCAAAAGGCAAAGCTTGTTACTGAATTAACAAACCTAATAAAGGTAAGACATCTTAATTGCAGTCATATTTCTAGTAACAGGAAGAAAAGACAAGATAGTAAAAGAAATTATTTTTATCAATAATTTTAGCTTGCTCTTGCTTGACATTTGTCATTTGGTGAATAAATTGATTAAAATAACTTAAGCTAAAATTATCGTATTCCAGATGACTCACATTTATAGGAATATGTTTATTCCTTGTAACAATTAGTTAAAAGAACTAATTGAAAGAGGTATCAGACACATTCAGAAAAAAGTATATTTATGGTTCACGGTTTTGTTTTTTTTAAAAAAAATTATTTTTCTTAGTTGTAAAATAAACTAATGGATTTTTGTTCCTAGATTTGTACTTCTCTGCATATACAAAAAGTAGATTTAATCCTTCAAAATACGACAGTGATCTCTGAAAAGAACAAGTTAGAATCAGATTATATGGCTGCATCATCACAACTGCGCCTCACAGAGGTAAAAGTTTTCTTTATTTTGGGGTTCAGCCTCAGACCAGTTTGAAAGCATTTCATATATCATCACTTACATTAAACTTTATTGTGTGCTCTTTAATTTACAGATTTAATGCATCATGTTGAAAGAAAGCAGCAACATTTTAAACACTTCTTTAGTGTGCATCTTATTTTGATTTAGGAAGGAGTGGCAATTATCAAAAGAAATCAGAGTATCTGATTTAGTAACTTAAAAACAGGAAGTCTCTCATCTTCTTTTTTTTTTTTTTAAAGATTTATTTATTTATACAAGAACTGGGGTACAGGCCAGATGTGCGGGAGTGGTGAGAGGATTCACCAGAGACAAGGTGGGGAACAGAATAGGCAGAAGGACAGAAGACACTGCTGAGGGGAGCAGCAGGTGAGGCAGGAAAGACCTGCCAAGCCATGTGGTTTTCTCCCCGGCCAGCCAGGAATTGAACTGGCACGCAGAGGCTGCGGACAGCTTCACAGTGCTGCGCTCAATCCGCTGCACCATTGGGGAGGTCCTCTCATCTTCTTTCTTAATCCACATAAATTATATTCAATAGTATTGACAGTCAGCAGCTAGTAGCGTGAGTCCCCAGGCCACCTGCACTTCATACCAACAGGTTAAAAATTCAAGGGTCCCTATTACACCCTCCTCCCCTCAGATTTCAGTTACTAGAATAGCACACAGAACTCAAAGAGATGCTGTTATGTAGTGATTAATTTCATGATAAAGAATGCAAATCACTTTTAGTCAAAAGAAGATACAGGGCAAGGTTTGGGAGAGGTCTGAGCACAGAGTTTCTGTACCTTTTCCTGTGAAACTGGGGTGTATCACTCTCCTGACATATCAGAGTTCACTAATCACGAAGTTCCACTGCCACTGATTTTATTGATTGCGGTTGCATTGCTTACTCATGATTGAGTTTAACCACATGGCCAAACGATTCAGTCTCTAGCTCTCTTCCCTGGAAGTCAAGAGATTTGGGTGATATTTATATACATATTTAACACAAAAGCAAATGACATTAAACAATGGGAGAACTTGGTACAAACATTAATCATATCATTAAATCTAAACAGGTATCATTCAAATATTTGTTTGAAGTAAATTCTAATACCATGCAGAGAAGTAAGTATCTAACAGAAAGAGATTTTAAAAATAAAATAGAGATTCAGGAAGATTTAAAATGGGAGCGTGGGGAGCACTTTTTGGGTGATACAAAATGCTATAAATTGAATTGTGATTACAAAGCTTTCTGCATATTTGCTAGCAATTATTGAATTGTACACTCATTGAGAGTGGATTTTATCATGTACATTATACCTCAAAACAAATAATGGATAGGATTTGTTAAAATCTCAATCCTCTTCACATTAATAATCAATAAAATTCCTAGCAGGGATTTTTTGAAGTTGACAGACCTAAAATGAAGTGAGCTTAGAGGAACTTTGAAAGACAGCAAGTTGGAGGATTTCCACTACCTGATTTACTGTAAAGCTGCAATAATAAAAGATGACATTGTATTGATTTAAAATTAGTCAGACATGGATAAGTGGAACAAAATAGAGTCCACAAATAGATTCATACATATATGGTCAATTATGTATTTAGAGAAACTGGGGCAACTTGGTGGAGAAAGAATCTCACAGATGGTATTAGAATAATCATATGCAGAAAAAATACATACAGTTCTTGCATTTTTTAAATGCCAAAAAAAAAGAAAAACCAACAGGAATATGTGACAGACAGTATATGGTTCTGAAAACCTAAAATACGTACTTATGACCTTGTGATGGATGTTAAAAAGAACTGACCCTTGATAAATGTTAAAAAGAATATATCTGTTACTTGATTTTTGACCTTGGACAGGTTCCCTAAACACTCCAAGCTTATTTTGATCTCTAGCCATAGACATTAGGCTGCCTACCTAACTTGCAGGACTATATTGATAGTTTAATAATACACGTGAATATGCTCAATGCGCTGCCTGTTTTAAAGCCAGTGTTACCTTCAAAAATATATATCAAGATTAATAATAGTTAATAATAATTGGAAATTATTAATTTGTTTATCCTAGTACTAAATTTAAAAATTCTCTGCTCTCTTCTCTGTCTACTTGATTAGCCCTGTCCCACAAGAAAGAATTTCAGAGGAGATATTTTCACTTAAATGAGCTATGTTATTTTGAAGAAGAAAAAATAATTTAACACATTAATAGGATTATTGCCATTACTTCATTGTTTAGTATTACATTGAAATAGTGCATGTGTTACATTGTGTATTACAAAGTACTTAAGATCACTAATTTCTACATTTTGAACTTGATATTAAAATTTCAAGTTGACGTGAAAAGATTATTTTTTATATTTCTAAAAGATGTATTCTGACTTATGTGTACTAACATTTATAGTTAACATTCGAATATGAAATCAATTAAATTGAAATCTGATTCTTAGTAAAGGAAAATTGAAGGAGAAATGTTTTAATTTACTTCTTCCACTAGAGGGCCTTATTGCTTTTTTGTTTAATGCCAAGGTATTTCTGAATACAAAGTAATCTTTTCTGAGATGTTAGTAAGAAATATTTTGTAAATTCAACCTTTTTTTTCTCCTTAAGTTTTAGATGGATGAAATATATCCATTCTCTATGATTTTTTAAAGAGTAGACTACACTGAAATGTAAATAAAATTTTTTCCCTATTCTCATTTAATTACATTATTTTATATAATTGTGCATTCCCTTTCATTCCCCTCCACACCAAAGTAAAACCTTAGCAAGAATCGTGATTTAGGGAAGGAAAAAATATACACTATTGTGAAGAGGTATGTCACAGATATGTATCTATAGAAAGGACATTGTCTCTGATATTTTTTTAGACATATGCCACCAAATAGAAAGAAATTACTGAATGAGGTTTACCTTCCTATTCCCAGAGCCCAGATAATCAAGGCAAGGATATTTCTTTCCCTTAGTGTTCTAATACTTCATTTTAGTAAGAGTGAGAGAAAGCAGGAACAGAAGACGTTATCACTGCTTAGTTTTTGTCTAGCTGTCTGTCCCTTGATTTACATTTGCCTGAATGTGATGAGCCCTAGAAAGCAGCATAGAGGTAACTGGCAGTCTTTAATATTTTTTTTCCTCAGGGCATAGAGACTGAGAAATTCTTTGAAAGAAGCCATAGTACGTGATTAGTTATATATTGTGTTTTCAGTTCAATCTAGTATATATCTTTTTACTTTTCATAATTGTTGTCTTGGTTTAATTTATTTGCTATCAAACTTGTGTGCATAAAAATCACTTGAGGACTCTTAATACAAACATTTCAAGGTCTCAGTTCCAGAGATCTCAGTTGAGTAGAACTGGCATATGGCAAGGGCTTCAAGACTGTTAATGGTCTTCATCCCCTCCACCACACCCCCCCCTTTTATAAAAACCAATATTTGTGATTTAATGGAAAGAGCAAGCTAGAACTGTTTCCTTGCTCAGGAATCTGCTCACCTGCTAATTCTATGACCTTGAGCACATTTCTTAATCTTTCTGAGCCACCTAAATAAGGAGATACTGTATTTAATATCATAATTAGGATTAGATTAACTAGCGTATTAGTGGCTATAGCAGTGCTTGCCCACAGAGGGCATTTCATGATACCTTCGTTATTACATATGAAATGAGCTAACTGACTTTTCCTCACCTTGCCACTCTGATCTTTTACATCTTTACTTTTCTCTAGTCATGTTAGATATCTTGTTCCCTAAATAAAAAGGTCTGAGGTTTCCATGCCTCTGCATTTGAAATCACCTACCCTGGCAATGCTTGCTGCTGCTTCCTCTTTAGTAACTTCTTACTTGTTCTATAAAATTGTTCAGTTGTCATAGCTTCTAAACCATTCTGACCTTCTTGCGTCTCCTGCCCCCACTGCATACATACTCTTTTTACATTTGCTAGTCTATTCCCACTGACAGGCATCATGTTATAATGAAAAGAGCATGAATTCTATAAGCAGGCATGGATGTGATTCCTGACAGGCTTCATCTAAATGTGGAGAATATAATGCACAGAATGGCACAGAATGGCAATATAATGCACAGAATGGCAATAATATTACTGTACAGTGTTACTGTAACACATGAGGGAGTACTGTGCAAATATTAACACTCCTTTTATGATAATAATTTTACATGTTTTTGTCATCACTCACCTTTCTATGTTCATTGCATAATAATGACATTCAATAGGTTCTTAGTAATAATTTGTGAAGAAATGATTGATTCTATGGATAAATGATAAATACATGAAAAGCAGTGAAAAACTATCCAACACAATTTCAAAGATCTACCTACATTTGAATGCTGCGGTTTCTGATATGAAGCCTGTATACTGTGCATGTCAAACTTCATGAAAGTGTAGATTTATATAGCTAATATAGCTAAGTTGAGCTGTTTGAGAAGAATTAAGTTTCAGAGCTCTTGTAGATTAGAGAAAAGCTATATTACTAATATACTGATATATTTTAAGGTTAAGTTCAAATTTAATCTTTACAATAAAAGCAACCTTGATTTGAGATACGGTTTTCAGATTATTTGCTTATTGTAATCACAGTTCAATTATTTGATATAATGTGGTTTAATAGCCCTCTGGTTTAACAGTAACATACAAATTTTAAAATACTTCTTTTTCTTGTAACAGCAACATTTCATTGAATTGGATGAAAGTAGACAGAGATTACTACAGAAATGCAAAGAACTTATGAAGAGAGCTAGGCAAGTATGTAACCTGGGTGCAGAGCAGACTGTTCCTCAAGAATATCAGACAGTAAGTATAAAAAGTATATAATACTGCAAGTTAACATATTTAACACTTAAACTTATCAAAATGTGTTAAGGACTATAATGGGTCATGAAGAAATGCCCCCAAATTAGAGATATTTTTCTCCCATTTTTAAATCGAGTATGTATATAAAATAATTTTGCTTAGCAGATTTTCTCTCTTTTATCCTCATACTTGAGCACTAGTCTTAACCACTTAGCATTATATTAAACCATGGGTGCAACCTTGCAAAATTATTGATACTATAACTCATTTTTCTAATAAAAGGAGGCTTTTGAAGGGGGTATGGTTAGAAGATCAGGTATAGTTTTTCATGGAAATAAAGTACTAGTAATTATATGGTAGTTGAAATACAAGAAACAATAAATAGATATTTGGAAAAACAGATGCAAATGTTTTCCTCAAAATTAGGGTATTAGGAGTCAATGGAAGTTGAATCTTTAAGGAAAATGTCTGTTGGTAAGAAAAAGAGAACGGAGCCTTTTCTTGCTTCATTACATTTTATGTGCTGACATGTCACTGAGTTAGTAAAATAAGATGTTTCCCTTTAGTCCAAGTTCCACCATTTATTTTATAGTCCTGTGACCCTAAGCATAATCTGATAAGTAGGGATAATAAATAAAACCTTGTATATGTACCTACTCCTTGTTACGTCAAAATGAAATTAGGAAATGAATTTTTTAAGTCTGGGATTTATAAGGCATTTTTTATTTCTTAATTTAAAATGTTGCTCATTTCACTTTATCTTAGTCAAAAAGCAAAAAAGTGATAAAATATTGCTAATTTCAATAGATAATGAAATATGTACCTAAGATATTAACAAAACTGGAAAAAAATTAATATGGATTATAATTTTCAAATCCTCAAAGGTTTTGCTTTATGATGTCATACAACAGAAACCATAGAAAATTATCTCTCTGGGTAGGATATTTAAGGCAAGTCAAAATGTTTCTAAGCATATACTAGAACTTCTACAAAAATAGTTACCATAAAATGAGTAAATACTATACTTGTATCCTTAAGTATATCAGTTTTTCAGTATATCAGTATTGAGAAGTCACATGGTTTTGAAACAAAATTAAAAGATACTCATATATTTGTTAAAAATATATTACCTGCTATATGTCAGGCATTGAACGAGACAAATATACTTCCTTCCCTAATGAAATTAGTATTCTAGTTTGGAGGGTAGGATGGACAAAAAGTAAATAGATAATGGCAGACTGTAGCAAAAGGTACTAAGAGTGAAATTAAAACAAGGTAAGAGATAAAGTGACACAGCGATGGGAAGTTAGTCAGGGAAGGCTTCTTTGAAGGGATACTTTTTTTTTTTTTTAAAGATTTATTTATTTATGTATTTATACAAGCACTGGGTACAGTTAGAAGCATGGGAGGGTGGGAGAATTCACCAGAGCCAGAGCGGAGCAGAACAGGCAGACTGACAAAGTAAACTGCTGAGGGGGGGTAGCGGGCATGGCAGGAGAGGTCTGTGCGCCATGTGGGACCCTCGCCAGCAGCTGGGGATCGAACCGGTGCTGCAGAGGCTGCGGGCAGCTCCGCAGCCCAGCACTCAACCACTGCACCACCGAGGAGGCCCCGAGGGGATACTATTTTTAGAGGAGTTCTGAATGAAAAAAAGAAATCAGTCAATTGAAAATTTGAGGGAAAAGTATTCCAGGCCGGAGAAAACTGAAACACATAACCTTGCTGATGTAGAAGCATATTTGGCATGTTTCAGAATAGAAAAAATACCAATGAAAAGAAGGCAAAGTCAGGTCATGTAGGGCCTAAACCTTTCATAAAATAAGTTTCAGTTATATTTTTTTTGAGATGGAATCCACTGGGGGATTTTAAACAGAATAATATGACTAACTTCAGTTTATAAAAGAGCTCACTGACTGCTATATGAAGAATTAAGTAAGGATACAAGAATGGAAGCAAGGAGATTATTGCTTTGACCCACAATAGATTTTATAGTAGCATGGGTTAGGGTGGAAGCATTGGACAGAGAGACAAGTTTACTAATTTGAAGTATCTTAATGATGAAGGCAGCAGGACTTGCTCATGTATTTTAAGAAAAAAGTAAGAGAGAACCCCTAAATTTTGACTTTTACTGAAATGGAGAAGATTGAAGGAAAAACAGATTTGCTCAAAGTGGTGGGGAAGGTAGGTGAAATGATTTGTTTCATCTTAAAATTAAGATGCCCATTTGAGTCAAGTGATGATACCAAGTGAGTGTTGGGCACATGAATTAAAAGTTCAGTGGACAAGTCATACAAACAAGATATTTATATCAAATATTTAAAGTTCTAAAGGGTTAAAAAAAACTTTTAAAATTATTTATGTGTCAGGGCTTCACGATTCATTTTGTCCCTTGTAGCATATGAACTTTGCAGATTGTGCTAAGCAAAATAATATACTGCTGCCTCCCCTCATAGGAAAGTATCTGTTCTGAGTATCTGTCTCTGTGTAATGAGCTCAGAAAATAGTATTGTGGTCAAAATCTACTGTCAAAGTAATTGGATTTTCAGGATGCTTTTGTAGTTCTTCATAAGAACAGTATAAAGTTCTAACTTCTTGCTCTCTTTCAATGCCCCACATATTCTGGACCCATTCTACCAATTCAGCAAGTACCCACCATTCCAAATGGACACAACTCCTCACCCCCCATGGTATGCAGTGCTCATTCTTTTTTCCAAGCTTCTATCTCCCTTCTGCTTTGCTTTTCCCTAGCCATTTGCTTTAAGGCCCAGAAGATGAATTCTAGGCCTCTGAATTCTCTTTAACTATAGCTCCTGTAGCATGAACTGATACTTCTTTCTTTAAATTCCTTAACCTATATATGTACTGCTTATTTTAATACTCAACATCAATACACTGCCTTAAGGGGTTATCCCTTGTAATTAAGTATATACATTCTGTTTTCTTTTAAAAGTGTAAGCTTTTTGAAATAAAAAAAAATCCCTGTTTAGTATTCCTTGTGTGTAGCATGCTATTATACACATAGTAGATATTTATTACTCAGATTATTTTTCTTTTAACTCTTTGAATTGAACTGTTTTCATTTTACTATCTATAAAGATGAAATTTTTTTTTCTTCTCTAGGCGTTCCAAGATCTTCCCAACACCTTGGATGAAATTGATGCTTTATTAACTGAAGAAAGATCAAGAGCTTCCTGCTTCACAGGACTGAATCCTACAGTATGCTTCTTTCCCTATTCCCTACTGCATTTACCACCACCTTCCAAATGTGTGTGTGCATGCACGCACACACATGCATGCACACATAGTTCCCTTCAGTACTTGCCACCCACTCTGTACTAGAGCTCTTGGTAATAATAAGCTAGACAGCAGGAACAATGTGCTTTAAATGCCAGATTCTGAATCTATTAGAATTTTAAATAGATTCTTCCTGAGGAACACAGTGTTCTGTGCCTTTTCTTTATAAAAAGAATAGTTGGGCCAACCTGAAATGCTGCAGTTTCTATTTTTTCAAGAATAAAAAAATGGCATTTTCAATATAAGAACATAAATTAATTGCATACAAACAATGCAACACAATTGTCATCTTTAGTTAATGTTTTTAATTGATGCAAGTTTCCTATAATTTTATGCTTTGGTGGATTTACCTTAAAGAAATATTTTTGTCCCTGCCAGGTTGTTGAGGAATACACAAAAAGAGAAGAAGAAATAGAGCAATTAACTGAGGAACTAAAGATAAAGAAAGTTGAACTGGATCAATATAGGGAAAACATTTCACAGGTAACTGTTCAATCTTTTTGTCATATGGTTACCATAAATCATCTAGGAATATACAGTAATACAAAATGAAAAGATAAGCTTCTACAAAAAAATGCAGCATATGTTCTCATGACCAGAATAGATGAGTAAATTTATTTTATGCAAAGTTTTATATTAGTATGTAATAACACTTTTTGTGGGTATTTATTTGCAGGTAAAAGAAAGATGGCTTAATCCTTTAAAAGAACTGGTAGAAAAAATTAATGAAAAATTCAGCAATTTTTTTAGTTCTATGCAGTGTGCTGGTGAAGTTGATCTCCATACAGAAAATGAGGTAAAATTGCATTTGAAGTGTTTCCTTGCAAGTAATTTTAATAATATGCTAAAAGTACATGTAAAATATTTGCTCTAAGATTGTATTTGTGAGAATTTTGCTTACTAAAAAATTGCCTAGAGGAAGGAAAAGACCACTCACAGGATTCCATCAAGGTCACTTTTTTGGTGACATTGGAGATTAGTGACTAATATCCTGCTAACTCTTTATATATCAATTTGAGTAATGGTTATTCAGCTGTGATAAGGAAAAGCATTGCTTTATAAATCTACCACTACCCAACTTAGAATCATAAGCAAATTGGGAAGCATAACTAAAATATAGTATGACATCGGTGGTTTCCTTTAGGTCAGAAAATAAGGGGAAAAAAGGAATGTAAGAGTTCTCAATAAAAGTATTTGGAAATTTGCTACTAATTTCTTGAGCTATAAATTCATGCAGTACAATTTTGGGCAAAATAAAATTTTCATTTAAAAAACATGTAAAGGGGGCCTCCCTGGTGGCGCAAAGGGTTGAGATACAACCTATGAAGCTATCCAAAGCCACTGCAGCATGAGTTCGATCCCCGGCCAGGGAGATACCCATATGGTGCAGCAGACCTCTACTGACTCATCTACTGCTCCCCTCAGCAGTGTATTTCGTCAGTCTGTCTGGTCTGTTCCCCACTCTGTCTCAGGTGAATCCTCTCACCCTCCTGCACATCCGGCCTGTAACCCGGTTCTTGTATAGATAAATAAATCTTTAAAAAATAAATAAAAGATTTACATTTTTTTTTTGAAGATTTATTTACTTTATACAAGAGCTGGGGTACAGGTCAGAGGCGCAAAATTCTAAATTGCTTATGTGGCTTGCCTTATTTCTCTCTAGGTTAGTGCTGTCTTCAACCTTAAAGTTCTACTCATTAGTTAGCCTTTAGTTATTTAGCTGTGTATCTCATTTTTTAAGGTAAATCTGAACCTATTAGAAGTGACATTGATAAGTAAGCCTTAGAGTAGCCTCAGTTTTGGCAAAATGTATAGAACACTGAGTATACTCATTTCAACAAATATTTAGTCAATCGCTACGAGGTCTAGTCTTTTTACTAAGTATTATGTGTGTAATTTTGATTCAGTATAAATATTTTTTCACAGTACTTCTTTTTTTTTCCTTCTTAACCAGCTATAGAAGTGGGGAAGACTCTTGGCCCTCAGTAGCTGCCTCTAGTAGAAAATTACATGACACTTCATTGTGTACTCATTCACCTATAGCTTTAAAACCTAGCAGTTTACTAATTACAATAGATAGTGCCCTTCTATGATAGGGCTCTTAATTACTTCTAAAAATCCCTTGGGAAAGCCTATGGTATGAGGTTAAGGGAAAAATAACTCAATCTGAATATTTTCCTGAACTAAATATATCCTTAAAGACCTTAAAAGCTTAGAGATAGCAACTGGTTCTTAAATGTTTATTTTACTTTTAAATTACCACTAAATTTCAAATTTTTTACTCCTTTATTTGATTATTCAGTGTATTTCAAAATAACAGCTTTTGGAGAAAACTTACCTTTCATCAGTGTTTTAACTATTTTGTAGGAAGACTATGATAAATATGGAATTCGAATTAGAGTGAAATTTCGCAGTAGTACTCAGCTGCATGAATTAACTCCTCATCATCAAAGTGGAGGTGAAAGAAGTGTTTCCACCATGCTATACTTGATGGCACTTCAAGAGCTTAATAGATGTCCATTCAGAGTAGTTGATGAAATCAATCAGGTATAGTGGCTATCCTCTTATTTGGGTTTTATTATGTCTTGTAATAGATTGAAATGTAATCATTATTGTTGTTGTTCAGGGGATGGATCCGATCAATGAACGGAGAGTGTTTGAAATGGTTGTAAATACTGCTTGTAAAGAAAACACATCTCAGTACTTCTTTATTACACCAAAGGTAGGTTATAAACAACCTAGAAGCACTTGTATACTCAGAAGTGGCTTAATGATATAGCACATTTTGACTCGGTATGTAAATAGGACCAGAAAGACTCTACAAAAAGGAACTGAAAAAATAACAGTAATATTTGTTACTAAAGGGGACAAGTTCCAGTGACATACTTAATCAGAAACCTCATTATCAAGGGAAGAAACGTAGGAGGCATAGCATTATGTTCTAGAACCGTTTTCTTCCCTACTTTTGGCACTTGTTCCTCCTCTATTGAAGTTCCTCTTTTAGCTCTAAAAGATGACTGCAGAATGCAAACTTTAAAACTCTGGCCCTCCACATTTCCATGGAAAGGCCTGTCTTCACGTTTTCTGTCATTCTTTTGTTCACTAATGCTTTATCCCAGAGGAAATCATAAGTAACCCAACATCTTCTAGTCACACATTTACTTTGATCAAAACAGTATTATCTTTATAGAGAATTTTCCACAAGGTGGAGGTATTGCAGTGGACATTTTCTTTTGTTACATCTTGTGCTGTGAACTGATGTACTTAAAGATATATTTAATATGAGATTTGGTATCCATGAAAAATGTTATTGGAGAGCCCATCTTAAATTCAAATTTTTATTAAATATTATTGTAATTGTGTCTTTTTCCAGTGAATATCCTATAGAATAGCCATATCTGTTACTATAATATTGTTTACAAGCACCTTGGCCTAAAAACCAAACCTCCCTGTTACACACTTTTGAGGCTACCAATCTGTAACAGTACTTGACCATAGAAGTTGCTTGAGAAGTATTTGTGAGTAAATGAAAGTATCTATCCTAGGAAATTTCTGGAGGTCACATGCTTCTCCATACTTAGGAAGTGGTCTGATCCCATTTGGTGGTGAATATAGAGGCCTCCCAAGGCATGCTGATTATTCTTTAGACTTCAAATGTACTAATTCATGTAAGAATCACAATATGTTGTGAAATTCTTAATTCAAGATACATATCTTAAGAGTTTTGATATTATAAATAAAATATTTGTGCACATGCAAGATTAGAAAAATGTGTTTCTTAATATATAATATATAGCATTATAAAGTAGTACCACATTATTCTTGGGACATCCATTCCAAACCCCTCTGCCTGTCAGTGAATGGCTGAAACCACAGTGTTGATCCCTAATTTTTTTTATATATGTATATGTGCATACACACACACACAGTGTTTTTCCTATACATACATATCTATGATTATATTTAATTTATAAATTAGGCACAATAAGAGATTAACAATAATAAATAATAAAATAGAGCAAGTACAACAGTATACTCTAGTAAAAGCTATATGAACGTGGTTCCTCAAAATATATTACTGTACATAATATTTTCAGACCACTGTTGACTGTGGGTAACTGAAACCACAAAAAACAAAACACCACCTAAGACTTACTGTATGACAATCTGTCTGTTTTAATATTTACAGCTCCTGCAAAATCTCCCTTATTCTGACAAAATGACAGTATTATTTGTCTACAATGGTCCTCATATGCTGGAACCAAACAGATGGAATTTAAAGGCTTTCCAAAGGCGGCGGCGCCGAATTACATTCACTCAACCTTCACAATAAAAGTAAAGGGTGTGAGAACTTTGGAAATTATCTGTTAATATATCCTGTTTATAAATATGACTCAACTGAATAAAAGGAGATTCATTAAAGACTAAAAGATCAGTTGTTTTTGGAAACCTGCTGTTAAATACAAATAGGTTGTGAATGGAGGCCATGATAACTTCTTTTTATGGAACCAATATCTGTTAGTAAAAATTAAGTTTTCTTCAGTCTTTGTTGAACTTGAGTCTTAGCACTCTGACCCTCAGTCATTGGGTCCCACATTAAAATGTATTTCAAATCAAAGATGTAGTAGAAAGGACTATCAGTTAAGTTTAGCTGACATGGTAACCCTAAGCTTTAACTGCAGAGTAACATAATTACTTTTAGAGTCTAAAGATGACTCTGAATCTTAAGTCATATGTCATAGTTTTCTCCCAATGTTCTTTTTAATTTTTAAAAATTGATATGGAAATGTGTAGTCTAATGTATAGTAATAATTTTATGACAAATCTGTTCATTTCTTTCCTATCTCCACTAGGAAATGGAATTTTATGGGCCTTACCAAGTTTTATGAAACTTGATACTGTAATTGCATTGGTATTTCAAAGCAAAAAAAGTACTGGGTTCAACTATGTTAACAGGACTTCTTTGACATGCCACATGGTGGCCACTAAATGATGCAAAATGCAACCAAAAGATTGACACAGAATAAAATCAAGTGACAAGGGTTTTCAAAAAATAACCCTATAAAGTGTGTGTGGGTTTTTTTTAATTTAAAGTCAATTGTATTTTACATCTTAAATTTCTAAAAAACATTTTTATAATTATTTTTAGTAAAATTTTTCTTAAGATTTCATATACTGGTTTCTACAATTTATATTTGAAATTTCTCAGTGTTAATGTAAAGAGTGAAGGAAAGCATTGATTTGTTTCAAACCATAATGTTTCTATAACAAGCTTTTATGCCCTACCTTCCAGGTTGATCCTACCCCATTATCTTAGAAAATCTTTTATCTGTAGATGAGAAAATCATTTGTTTATCTTTGAGTTATACTAATTAACAGTGCCAAATTCTTTTAAAAAGTAAGTCTTGTAAGAAAATGGAGTCATCCAAGGACATAGCTTTACACAGTGTATTGGATTAGTGCCAGTAACGACAAAATTATTTTTTTTGACTTGGTAGTCTGCATAATTGAAGAATTGTACTCAGTTTGGGTTTTTGTATATTCTTAAATAGCTACTGAAGTTTATATTCTTATTAGGTCAAAAAATAATGAACCATAAGCTTATGTCCTCACTTGGACAATTTCTCTTTAAAAAGTTATTTTTTTCTTATACAGATTTTAAAAGAATCTTCTCTTAAACTAGGTCTAATGCATGTAGTACTATGAAAATATTTTAAAATGACATTTTTACTAGTGCGAAAAAGTCATGTAAACATTGAAAAGTTTGGTAACATGTTAGTAAATGGGTATTGTTACCAAATGTTTTTGTTTTCCACCAAAATATCTTTACTAACAAGTGCTTCATGTAGTTTAACATCTAAGTGCCGTCATTTATTTTTACAAAACAAGTATCTGTGAAAAAGAGTTTGAAAAATAGGCATATTTGAAAATAAAGCTATCAATTAACACTTCAGTTTGTGCCAGCACTTATTCCATCCCTTGTTTGTAAGCATATATTTCTATACTGAACAAAGTTATTATTTTGTTTTAAATTGAATTTTGAGCTATAAAAGATGAATAATGTTTCATTTTAATATTGATAAAATCATAAGCCTAGTGCATTATAGTCTCAGTCATGTAAAACTTCATATATTTTCTGTGAAAGTTTTAACTACAAATTATCTAAACTTCAAGTAAAGGTCTGATTAATATTTTAAACATTAATGTGACGAGCAAATATTTTTAATGACAAAATCTTCATTTACTTGTCTAAGGAGTCAATTAAAAGGTTTTTAGTAATTGCCTCTAGCTATTTGCTTATTTTCTTTGGCGTATGAATCTTTAGTATGCAAAAAATGTCATTTTGTCCTGCTGTTGTGTGTATCAGCGTATATGTATAAAAAACTGAGAATTGCTACTTTATGGGCAATAAATACATATTTTCATATTCTTTTGGTGTATGTTATTTTAAATGAGAGCTGTTTTTATACTTTGACCCTTCTTCAGAGTCATTTTGATTTTCAGATTTACTGAAAGTCTATTGAATGTCTACTGTTTACAGAACAGTGTTTGGCAATTTATCCATGTTCAAAAGGATAGAAAATTTAGTCCCTCGTCTGCCTGCAAGGAAATTAGAGTCTAATAGAAGCAGTAAACACATGAAATGAAGTTTAAACCATCTGAAGAAGCCATGTTACAAGGCAAGTATAAATATTGTTAGGTTGAAACCTTAGATTTTCTAACAAAAATTCCCCATAGCCCATGTTGTCTGACTTCTTACATTAAACTGCCATTTAAAAGAATTTTGCTTAATATATTTTTGAGTCAGGCAGACTATCACTTTTTTATAGACAATTCACTTCACTCAGTTTCCTTGGTGAAATGAGGATAAAATACCTAATTCACAGAGTTGAGAGGAGAGGCTCAAATGGGGTCAGACAGGTATCAGGACACCTAACACCATATATTTTATAAATGTTGTCTTCTCATCTTGTCCCCAGCTTCATTCAGCTCTCATATTTTAACTGTTTTGTACATCAAGGCCTGAGAATGTTTTATTAGTAAAGTTAATGTGCAGATTTTTATTCTGTTTTACTTACAGTCTCAGTTGTTCAAAGGACATAGATACCTATAGGCTTTCAGCAAGCCTTGGAGAGTATAAATAGAATTATTTTCATACATCTTGTTACCATCATGAAATTTGAACATGTTAACCTATATGATTTGCCCTAGAGATATTTATACCATCCATCTCATTACTTTGTAATCACACTATATTTAGGATACTTAATACAGTTTGAACATTTGGGAGATTTGTCCCCTTTGACAATCTGGGATTGATTTTTTTATTCCCAGTGTAAATATTCATTTATTGCTCCCAAATAAGCTATTGGTGATTGGCTAGAAGATTTAGTTGGTTTGGTTTGGTTTGGTTTTGGTTTTGGTTTTTTGTTGGTTTGTTTTTTTAAGCTAGTTTTGTGTAACCCCACAGAGAAAAAGCAAGGCTACTATGCTTGGCTTCATTCTAAGAATTGCATGTAAGAGAGCGTGGTAAACACCAGAAAGCAGACTAAGAACAACTCCAACTCTATAAGCCCTGGCTTCATCTGAGACTATATCTGTAACATAGATTAGCTGTTTTTAGGCATGTTGAAAACATGAAAGATCTTCTATGGATACTTTATGTTTCTGACCACTCTTTAGTTAGTAAACTTTTTTCCCCCACTTAACTAATTTTTTAATTCTTTTACATTGCTCTTCATTTTTTTGCAGTATTTGATTTGTCCTCTCAGGTGTTTGCAAACTCTTATTTTGCTTCTCAGGAGCATGCTTAACATACATACTTGGCATTCAGGTCTGTTTGTTTCAAGACTAAGATATGGGGATCCTGAGAGTATGGCCAGTTGGTGATTCCTGCCAAATATTCAGTAAGGAGTGGGTTGAAACAAATCACCTTAAGAAAAGATTTGGGGTAAGCCATTCAATTAATGTTATGATAGACTCATAAACTATCAATCGTCATAGAATTTTATTATTATTTTTATTTATTTTTATTTATACAAGCACTGGGTACAGACAGAAGCGCGGGAGGGTGAGAGAATTCACCGGAGCCAGAGCGGGGGAGCAGAGCAGGCAGAAGGACCGAAGCACACTGCTGAGGAGAGCAGCGGGCGGCAGGAGAGGTCTGTGCACCATGTGGGACCCACCTCTGGTGGCCGGGGAGCAGCCGGGGATCGAACCGGCTCAGCACTGCAGAGACTGCAGGCAGCTTCGCAACCCAGCGCTTAACCACTGTGCTACTGGAGAGGCCCTCGTCATAGAATTTTAAATCTTAATTTGGTCCCAGTGATCTAAGCTATATTAGATATCTATAATGTATATTATATGCAACAGCCCTGTACTATAGACACGATAACAGAAATTTGGAAATATTTAGGCTTTTTTCCCAGCTTTTATTAAATGGCAGAGATGGGCATGAAAAACTGAGTTTATTTTTTCCACAATACCATGGTGCCTTTTCATCAAGATACCTTGTCTTTTGAATTATTGAAGCTGTACATAAACAGTTCCTGGTTATGTAATTAACTTCCTTATGGGTAAGAGATTTCTTCAATATATGTCCCCATGTTAGGGTAAAAGTTAATTCTTTTGTAACAGAACCCCAAAATAACAGTTAAGATAAAAGCTTAGTCTTTCCTTAACAGAGCATAAGCAGTTGCACTGATACTAACTCCTCTCTTAACTCCTATTTAGTTGTTCTGCCATCCTTAATTCATAACTTTTGCATCCCTTCTCCTGGTCAGAGATGACTAGCAACTTCAGCTTTTGCCATATGTGTATCCAAACAGTCAAAAAGGGAGAAAGGGACAAGGGGAAGACATGACCACTCTTCAAGAGCATCGTCTGCAAGAGGCACAAGTTACTTATGAGTCACACAGCCTGCAAGAGAAGCTTGCGGATGTTCCCTTGAGCTATGTGACTGCCTAGTTAAACTCAGACTGCTCTGTTCTTCAAGAAAGGAAGGGTGAGTATAAGGGGGGAGTGGGCACCTCTGCCAGAGACCCAAAGATATCATTGATTACCTGTGGCTTATTGGCCGTGTTTTCTGAGAAAAGATTTGGTAATTTCCCATTATACTCATAAATACCCAGAGTTGGCACAGACTTCAAAATTCCAGCAAATATACCCAATTCTACCCTCATCCAAAGTAGCGTTCCTGAGCCACTTACCGTTTCTTCTTCATAGCATTTCTTACTACTTATTACATATCTTCTTTGTTAAATATGAGTTTTCTGAAGGCAGAACCTAGAAAAATGCTTATGAGTACATAGTAAGTACTAGGTTATTGCAGTATGATTGCCCTTTCTCCCAATACTGGTAGTGGTATGAGCATATTTATTTTGTTGTTCAGTTATTCAATCCTTATTTACATGTACTGTTAGCAAACATAGTTTGAGGAATAAAAACTATGGCCTGAATCTGATTCACTAAAGAAACCTAATCTACCAGTGCAAAAACCTAAGTTTAGCATAGATTATAGTTAACCTTGTTAATAGGATACAATGAAGGTCAATCTTAGATCATTCTGCCATGTACAGACATTTGTTAAGTATGATAAGCATGTAAATTGTAAATATAGTGAAGTTCTAGCTTTGTACCATTTGATGATTTGATTATATGTTGCATGAAAGGTTCACACATACCAGATGTGATAATGTTCCTTTAAGCATTAAATAACAAAAAATCTTTAGACCCACTGTCTAGGGATTCTTATACCCAGTTTATAAAATAAAGGGGAGTATCTGAACATTTTAGCCACTCAGTACATTTCTTGGGCACCTTTAATTTCTCAGTGAGAACTCATTTCTAACATGTTAATTACAAATCATCAATATAGTACAAAAACTATTTCTGACATTTCCCTGTGCTGTCTGGTATCAATAAATAGATAGTAGATTCACTTGTAATAGGTACCTTCTTAGAATGGGTTTTCTGTTTAGAATACGAAAGTGTAAACTACTGCCTAGACCAGCTGCATAATCTAGCATACTATCACTCTGCCAATGCAGGAATATTTTTTAAAATGCTCATCATCACATTGAGGAAATGTAAATCAAATACATAAAGCGATGCCTACTAATACTGTGAGAATGGTATATATATCAAAGACTGGGGAAAACGTGTTGGCTCAAGGGTGTGGAACCCTTGGATAGTATTGGGGTAGAAATGGAAAATGTAAATTGTTCTGAAAGAAATAGAAGTACTATATGATCCAGCAATTCCACATATAGGTGGAATTTATCTGAATACTATAGAAACACCAATTTAAAAAGATAATATGCCAGCCTGATGTTCATTGTAGCACTCACTGTTCACAACAGCCAAGACATAGAAGCAACCAAAATGCCCATTGATGTATAACTTGATAAAGAAGTTATAGTATATATATATATTTAACAGACTATTACTCAGCTATTTTTTAAAAAGATGAAATCTTGCCATTTTGACAACATGAACAGACCTGAGGTGATTATACTAAGTAAAATAAGTCATGAAGAGAAAAACATACCAAATGGTTTCACTCAATGTGGAATATAAAGAAACAAACTAACAAAACATAACTCAAACTGACAAAAAATGATGGTGACCAAAGGAAAAGGGAGTAGAAGAGAAATATGGTCATTTTGATAGTGATAAATGATAATTTTGATGGAGGGTGACTTGTGGTATATACATTTATCGAGATGTAACGCTATACTACAGAAAAATGCAGTATTGTAAACCAATGGTAATTTTTTTTAAAGGGGGCTTTATATACAATAAGATCTCCAGGCTGATCAATGAAAACAGCTGTGTGTGTGTGCTACCATTTGTGTTTAAAAAGGAAAAATATATACACAGATACAAATACATAGTTACAATTTCTATTGAAGGATACAAAAAAACTTTGCCTCTTGGGAAAGGAAACATTACTAAAGATCAGGGCTAGAGGAAGATCTTTTTAACATGCTTTTTTGTGTCTTTTGAAAATAGAAATCTAAATTTGCTTATTTTTAAAATCTTTTTTAAAGAGAAAAAAGCACAGACTTTGGACTCAAAGATAATTTGTTTGTATTATATAACTAGCTATGTGACTTTGGCCAAGTTATTTTCAAATTTTATGTGACCACATTTATAGAACATGAGAAAAACAAATGAGGTCGCTGCTGAAGCCAGTACTCAATCAGTATAAAATTTTGGTATCTGGCCTCCCTGGTGGTACAGGTGGTTGAGCACAGTGCTGTGAAGCTGTCAGCAGCCTCTGCAGTGCTGGTTCAATCCCTGCCGGCTGCGGAGATACCCACATGGCATGGGGTATCTCCTGACAGGTATCTCCTGTCTCGCCTGCTGCGCCCCTCAGCAGTGTGTTTCCATCAGTCTGCCTGTTCTGTTCCCCGCTCTCTCTACGGTGAATTCTCTCACGCTCCCACACATCTGGCTTATACCCCAGTTCTTGTATAAAAATAAATAAATCTTCAAAAACAAAAATTAACTTTGGTATCATTCTTGGTCTTCTTTAAAAATCTAATGATTACAAAATAAGCAATTTAATTATAAAATGTGTTATTGATCCACATAGGTTTAATAATTTCATTGATGGCCATATAACGTTTTAGTAAAAAGTGAAGGTTTGGAATAATGAGTACACAGTAGCTAAATATTTGTTAATTGTTCAATAAGTGCCCTATATTTCCGTTTAGGTTCAGGACCATCTCTTCCTTACTGTTAAACACACACCCTTCCTGGCTAATAATCATATTCCAACCTGGAGGGGGTAAGTAATAATAGTGTTAATATTTTAAATACCGTGGCTCTTGGGAATTGGTATTGAAATAGGTTAGGTTATCTTGCATATGCAGTCCTCAGTACTATTTATCTAAAACTGGTTACTCTAAAATTATTACTCCTGAGAGTATACCATCTAGTAACTTCCAATTACTCTGTCAAAGATTGTTACTATGCTTCAACTGTGAGGACAAATGCAAGTCTTTCCCAGAGTATGCAGAAAAATATGAACCATAATTCATTTTCTAGTCATGTTAAATTTACCATTCAGAATTTGATAGCCTAAGTAAAACAGCATTATTTTTCAACAATGCCTTGAACTCTTCAGGCCATATTCATCACATTCCTAGACCAGGCTCTTTCTCTGTTGACCATACCTCTTCCTTCCATATGCTGTTAGGAAAGAGGAAGATAAGCAAGGGCACTAGGGTCTGAGTGAGAATAGCAGTCCTGTTCACACAAGAAATGCCTGTCCTTTGTCAGGCATGACTTAAAAGACCAGCCTAAAAAGAGTACAATATGGACACACCCATTGAAGGATAGGTAGTGCATAAATTGGAAGATTCTGTTGGCATTGTGGAGAAAATAAAAAGTCCTCAAAGGAACCAGCCAGGCCACTATCTTAGAGTTTGGACCCTGAGTCACTGGGTGGCGAACAAGTTCCCCACAAGTGAAACTGGCTAAATTAACCTAGACCATTCATATAGGGAGAATTAGGTAAAAGGGAGATGAGCATATGTTAGGCTACCTAATTGTTTAGTCTATGTTACCCACTGAGGATGTAAACCTACTTTAGCTCAATAAAAAACTTCGATAAAAAATCAGACTTTAGAAAAGGCACCAAAAAAAATCTGATGAAAGTTGTGAAGGACTTAACACATTGAAAACTATAAAACATTGCTGAGAAATTAGGTAGCCTTAAATTAATATTATTGTTAGATACTCTGTATCTTTTTCATTTTCATAAATTGTTAGATGAAACTATTTTTGCTTTAATAGTTTGATTAATGAGGTTGAATCTATGTTTCTCAGTGATTGAAGTTTTTCCTTGAATAACCTGTTCATGTTCTATGTGCATTATTTTCTACTTGTAGAATCTGTACTCTTCTCAGAACTCTCCTATTTTCATAGGACTTGTATTAGAGGTAAACTTTAGAGTCATCTGGC